GAAAACAGAAATAGAAATATAGAAATAGAAATAGAAAACAATAGAACAAAATAAAAACCAATAGAACAAAAAATAGACATCGACTTATCATAGTGTGAGAGTAAGTACCTTAAACAAGATACAGAAAAACTGGTATGGTAGCTAAGAAAGCCAAGATTACCTACTGCTGGTGAACCATGGAAAGAGGAAAGAGAACAGCAGAGACCAGGCCAGAGTGATACCTAAATCCAAACCGCTAGGGGTCCCAAGTAAAACTAGTTTATAAATAATTTGTTGAATGAATGCATGAATGAGAAAGAATGATACCATTGCTTGGATTTCTATCTCATTACTTATTACTTATCAACATAAAATTTAATTATTATTTGCTTCAGATCCTGTTTCTGAAGAAGGGATCTCTTGATAGAAAGTGTCTTCTAAGAGGCTTGATGCTCTATCGGTTATAGCACAGTTGGGGGAGAGAGAGAATGTTAACGTTCTCATTATGTAAATTTTGAGTCACATCACTGCTCTTCCTGCTGCCCCCTGAACAGAAATTCTCTATTGCAGTGTGCCTTGTTTGGATCCTACTGAACATCAGTTGGGACGAAACGATTTTAATATCAGCCAGTCTATGAGTATGGTCTCAACATCAGTGAAATGACTTCATAAGCTATGATTTCCCATATGCACTTTCTCTCAAGCAGAACAAAGAAAGTTTGCTTGATAATAAAGATGGGATCCCAGTCTCACCGCCACACTCTCTTCAAGGACTTTTTTGACGCCTCCCCTGTGATGTGCCTGGAGCCTGGCTATGGCTACAAACAACAGAACTCCATAAGTGTCGCCATTTTAATTAAGGAAGGCGCTAAAAAGCGCTGCCCTCCTATCTCGACCCTTCTTTTGTAATCAGCATACTTACTGTCACCATATATTTTTGGTTCTAGAGTGGTTTTAACTATTTAAGCAAAGGAGAGAGGATTTCATGCAGTTATGATGGGCATTCTTCTGTTGGGAAGTCTAATTTTATTTTAATAGTAGCATCTTGCTCTCATATGGTTAAACATTTCACCTGTATTTCCGCTTGTTTTGAGGGTTGTTGTTCTTTTTCCACAGTGTATACTTTGCCTTTTCATAATCACTCAGTAATTCCAATTTGCACATTTTTTTTTTCATTATAGGAGTCAAGTTTTCACTGTAAGGTTTTGGTGTACAATTCAGGCTTTGGATATTTCCTTGGCAGTTTTGTCAAAGCTCTGTGTCCTTTAATAATGTGTACAGTGGTTACTCAAATAAATTTTATCTTTTAACAAAAACATTTGCCTTACAGGATTTTTTTTTTCTTAGAGCCAATGAACTCTTAGAGTTTTTGTTTTTCGTTTTTTGTTTTTAATTTTAATTGCAGTTAGTTAAGGTTTCTGGAGTTCCTGATCTAACATTTATACATTCTGGATCTTCCCACTTTGTTGTTTTAGCCGACTTGCAACCCACAAACTCCATTCCCTCATCCTCAAGATATTCTCTATTCGTCCAGACAACGCCTTTCCCTAGCCCCCTGCCACCACACTCGAAATCCAGCTGACAATTTTCCTTGTTCTAGCATTTATACTATTGAGAAAATAAAACCTTGCTCCGTGGCTACCACAAATTTCTCTTGCCATCCTCTCCTAGACTATGTATTCTGTTTGGCATCTTTTTTGTTTTTGTTTTAAAATATACATAACATAAAATTTAGAATCTTAACCATTTTCCAATGTACAGTTCATAAATGTTTGCATATTCATTATTGTGCAACAGATTTCTAGACCTTTCTCATCTTAGAACATTGAAATGCTCTATCCATTAAACAATAACTCTACATTCCCCTCTTCCTCCAGCCCTCAGAAACCACTACTCTACCTTCTGTTCCTATGAATTTGACTACTTTAGATACCTCCTATATGTGGAATCCTACCGTGTTTGTGTGATTTATTTCACTCAGCATAGCATCAACTTTTCTCCTTGGTGTAGCATGTGTCAGAATCTCCTTCCTTTTTCAGACTGAATGATATTTCGTTGCTTGTATATATCACATTTAGTTCATTCATCTGTCAGTGGACATTTGGGCTGTTTTCATGACTACCGTACATAATGCTGCTATGAACATGCGTGTGCAAATAGCTCTTCAATTCAATTCATTGCTTTCAATTCAATTCATTGCTTTCAATTCAATTCAATTCATTGCTTTCAATTCGTTAGACACATACCCAAAAGTGGGATGCTGTTCAGCATCTTTTATTCAGTCATAATCAGTACTATTTTCATTCCTCCAAATTATCCGTCCATGCACCTCAAGCCATCTATTCTACCTTTGTCTCTATTCTCCTTCTCTTAGGAGCTGATGAAAGCATCACAGGGTAACCGGGTCAACCTCCTCTCCCTCCACCTCTGTCACTTCACCCAAATACTTGTGTCCGGCTTGTTCAGCTTCCTTAGCTTCTGTGAGTATGGGGATGGTAACAGGAGTAATGGCAGAGAAGGCTGCTCTGAGCTAAGAACTAGACCTTCAAGAAAGGGGGTGAGAAAGCAGATGTCAGGAAATCAATGCAAAAGGAAGTGGTAATGGGTGGTCTAATATCTGCTACTATATCTTCCCACCCCCATCCCCCTCCCTTCTCTACGGCATTTGACGGTTGCAATTATTCCACTCTCCACACAATTCATTCCAACTCTTGCTTTACATACAACTGACTCTTATTTTTTTTTTCAACGTTTATTTATTTTTGGGACAGAGAGAGACAGAGCATGAACGGGGGAGGGGCAGAGAGAGAGGGAGACACAGAATCGGAAACAGGCTCCAGGCTCTGAGCCATCAGCCCAGAGCCTGACGCGGGGCTCGAACTCACGGGCCGCGAGATCATGACCTGGCTGAAGTCGGATGCTTAACTGACTGCGCCACCCAGGCGCCCCCAACTGACTCTTATTTTAACTAAATTTTAAATCTGGGGTCCTTAAGGACCACAGACCTCCAAAGGTTTATGGCTAGAACTAAATTTCAATATAGCCGCTTTCCTTTGTAATCCTAGGTATTCTATTTTGTGCGTTAAAAAGATTAATTCTAGGGGCACCTGGGTGGCTCAGTGGGTTAAGCGTCCGACTTCAGCTCAGGTCACGATCTCATGGTTTGTGAGTTCAAGTCTCACATCGGGCTCTGTGCTGACAGCTCGGAGCCTGGAGCCTGCTTCGGATTCTGTGTCTCCTTCTCTCTCTGCCCCTCCCCTGCTCACTCTCTCTCTCTCAATATAAATAAACATTGAAAAAATTAAAAATTAATTCTGGAGGCACCTGGGTGGCTCAGTTGGCTAAGCGTCCAACTCTCAATTTTGGCTTAGGTCATGATCTCACAGTTCTTGAGATCAAGCCCTGCAACAGGCTCCACATTGACAGCTCAGAGCATGCTTGGGATTCTCTCTCTCTCCCTCTCCCCCCCTCACACACTCTCTCAAAATAAATAAATGAACATTAAGAAAAAATAATTCTGAGGAGGGGTCCAAAGGCTCAGCCAAAGAGACAAATGGGTCCACCATACACAAAAATATTAAAAACCATGAAACACATGTGAACCACATCTAAGTGTTTCCATCCTGATCTTCCTATCATTTATTCTACATACATGTTCTCCCTTAAGAGTGCCATCAATTCCTGAGGTTTTGACCCTCTGCCACCCATTTCCTTTTCAAAAGGCCTCTTGCTGGACATCTCTGGAAGTCCGGTTTCATAATCAAACTATATTCCCAATATTTTCCTAGAACACTCTCACACTTCCTGGCTCTCACTAAAACTCCATCTGTCTCAGGCCCCCAAGTCTTTCTCAGGTTTAAAAAAAAAAAAAATCCTTTGACACTCTCTCTTTAAAAAAAAAAAAAGTTCATTTTTGAGAGAGAGCACGTGAGCTGGGGAGGGGCAGAGGATCCAAAGTGATGCGGGGCTTGAACTCACAAACTGTGAGGTCACGACCTGAGCCAAAGGCTGACACTTTACCAGCTGAGCCACCTGGGTGTCCCAACACACTCTCCCTTGATCAAGTTACCCTCTCTCTCCCATATGTTTCCTACTGGTGCTGCAACAAGTTACTCTGTAGCTGGAAATGACTCAGATGTATTCTTTTACCAGTCTGGAGGTCAGGAGGCCAAATGAATCCTACAGAGCTAAGACCAAGGTGCTGTCTTTTCCAGCATCTAGAGGTGGCTGTCATTCTGTTCCACTCATGGCAGCACCTCTCCAGTCTCTGCTCCGGTCATTGCCTTCTCTCACTCTGATCTAGTGCCTCCCTTTCATAAGGACTCGTGTGATAACACTGCCCACCTGGATAATCCAGGGTAATCTCCCACCTCAAAGCCCTTAAATCAATCACATTTGCAAACCCCCTCTTGCCGCCTAAGATAACATAGTCACTGGTCTGGGGATTAGGATGTGGGCATCTTTGGGGTCATTATTCAACCCATCACACACACCCATTTCTCTCACCCTTGAATTCTTAACCCCCTGCTCCAAATGCATCCTTCCCCCACGTTTTTGTTCATTTCAACAAATAGCACCATCACTCATTTTGAATCCTGAGGCTAATTCAGGATTCAAGGCTAATTCTCTTTCTCAGCACTAACTTTAAGAAAGGAAGTAACCAAAATCCAATGCATGAATAAATTCTGTTCATTCTGCCCCCAGTTTCTTAATTACCTCCAGTCAAGGCCACCATCAAATCTCACCTGGATGATGGCAAAACCTCCTTGCTGGTCAGCGCCATCACTATCGCCTTATTCCAAGCCAGTCTCCCTGCCGTATAGACAATTATATGTTAAAAATGTAAATCTGATTAGGTCAGCTAAAAAATTTTTTTCTGGTGGCTTGGTATCTCTCAATTCAACTTAAAGGAATCAGTTCCTCGTATTTCCTACATACTGTACGTGTTGCCCCAAACGGTGGCTTTCACACAAGGAGCAGGCATTTCGTTTGCTGACCTATTCACGCGGATTCTTGACCAGGGGAAAAGTCATGCGGAGGCGTTGGAAAGCTGAGCAGCAAGATTCCACCGCCTTTATCCGGAGCCGCCCAGCCTCCACGCGGACGACATCAAGGAAACGAATCATCACCAGCTTTTGCTCCTGCGGAGGGCTCCCGATGGTGGTCGTGGGAGCGAAACTCGTTAGAAACGATGCAAATTAGTAGTAAACAAGCCCTCGCCCCCTAAGGGGAAGCTGCGGTCAAAGTCTTCTTTCCGCCCCTCCCAGCTGCGCTCTCCACACTCCGCAGCGCTGGGAGCGAACGCGTTGCCTCTCATCTCCTCGCTGCGCTCTCTGCTGCGCTTTCCTTCGAGGTCGCACCTCTTCCTGGAGAGGATGGGAGCCTCTTCTCGGAGGAGCCCGCAGCCTCTCGGGCCGCCGGCGCCCCCTCTCTCCCGCTCCGGAGGAGCCCTCCTCGCGGTTCTGCTGCTGCTCACGCTGCCGGCGGCCTGGGGTGAGACTCGGGGCTGGGCGCTGGGTGGGGCGAGGAGGCAGGGGGACTCTGAGATCCCCGCCCATGCCGGGACCCTGGTGGCTCTGGGTGATCCCCTCTGCCGGGGCTTGTGTTGTGCCAGCGCCCGGGAGCGCGCAGGTGCCGAGCAGGTGCAGAGCAGGTGCAGCAGGAAATTTCTCTGCCTCTGTCTGTTAACAAAGGCCGGCGAGAGGAGCGTAGTGCTGATTGCAGCCAAGAAACGGGGGGCTGGAAATACGACCAACTTGGGTTCTAATCCTAGCAAGTTCTTAAGTGTGAGGAAGGTTCCTGCACCTGCCCGAGTCCGTTTCCTTTTCTGTGTGGTGTGAACCCGGATTTCTACCTCGTGGTGTTGTTACCTAAATGGCATGAAATGTGTCCAGGGGTCTAACACAGAGCCTGTCACTTAAGTTCTTTCCTCCAGCCAATCTTTCTGAACTTTGTGCGTGAGGGTGTTTGGACAAGGAGTCCTGCCGGTGGAGTTTTCACCGTAAACTGCCTTGCATCTGGTTGGATGCGCCCCACTCACACCCCAGACCACCACGTGCACCTATTGAGCGCCAACGTGTGAAGAAGTCCCACGGGGTTAGAAGATCCAGCGAAGTTCCAGAACCCTCAGTGTCACTAGTCGCAGATAGAAGGGAAGTGTAGAGATGTTTTCACAGTGTGGCAGTGTGGTCATGTGTTTTAGTAGAAAATAAAGCCTGTTATAACTGATGGGAAATTTTGAGGTGGCATCTTCCCTTCCTTCCTTCCTTTTAAATAGGTAAACATTTTCAGTTTGAACCCTTCTCTTCTTATTTTTGGCTTTCTGAGAAGTCTTAGTTGCTTGGACTCCTTGGTAAAACCTCTCCGTTGAAATGAGAGTCCTAATTATTTTTGTCCAGCCTCTTCTTGACCAAGTGACTTTGTTCTCTGTTGTCGCTAGACATTGTGTGTTCATTGTTTGTGCCGTCTAAGAGAGTAAGGAAAAAGGAAAACCAAGTTTCCACTGAAGTCATTACTAATAGACGTCCTAAAGTAACCAACCAGGTGAAGAAACGTGATAAAGCCAAAAGTTTTATTACTAGAAGAGAAGCAAGCCAAGTGTATTAAGCAATCTATGGTCAATGCGTAGAAATTTTTGTGAACCTTTTGAGTATATTTGTGTCTCTTCTTACTGGAATGTTAATTGCAAAAAAAAAATATTTACTAAGGTTATCATAATAACCTGAAAATGTGAAACAGCTTAGTAATTTACTTGCCAAAGGAATTTAGGTAAAGAAAATGTTTATGGAATGCTGACAGTATGCACAGCACTTCGGACTTTATGAGAGAGCTATTTCTCCAAGGTGCATTCATGTAGAAGCTGTGTGGTGGAGTTTTATGAACTTTTCTTAATTAGGAGGCCTGGGTTCTGTTTTTTTCAGCCGCTACTTACTATCTGTCGGTCTGGAGCCCAGCAAGCCAGTCACATCCCTGACTTTCAGTGTCCATACATACAAAATGAACATAGTCGACATCCTGCCATATGAGAGGACTATTGTGAAAATCAAATGAGGTAGTGTATGTGACAGTGTTTTTTGTAACCTGAAAAGCCCCTGTAGATCTGAGAAACCATGAGTAGGACCTTCCCTGACAAGAGCCTAAAGACCACAGCATGACTCAAAAGGGGGACATCTCAGCTTTGATGATCAGAGAAGGCAGAGGGCAAGGAGCATGGCGCTCGCAGCATTTAAGGAGTGAATCCAAATTGCACATGCGGATTCACCCGGATAGTTATTTCACATACACAGGAGCACACTCAGGGTACTAGGGCAGTGTGGAGCACAGGACGGACTCTGGCGCCCTCACCTGGTCCTTGGGGCAGATCTCACTCTGTTGCCGCGCTGTGTAAAGACGCAAGGTAGAAAAGATGGCAAGTCCAGTGGCTTTCTGTGAATTGTCACCTATTTCAGTTTACATGTATTCAGATGAGCAGGTTTATGGTTTATATTACCTCGTTTTATCTAATATAACCTCTGTGATCGCACAAGTAACTTTGAAGTGTTTCCACATAGAAACAGAATGAAGATAATTCTAGTAAGGCCAACTTAAGCAAACAAGACAATCCCTTCCACGCATGGACACACGCAGACATGCGCACACAGACACACGCAGGCACACACATATCCAAGCTCTTTGTCAGAGACACTAAGAGGAAGAAACATTGTCAGTCTAATCACAAGTGACCAGAAGTTCACAAAATAAAAAAACGAGAAAATGTCAAGACTACTTGAAATGAACATCCACCTTGTGAACAGAGAAACTCATTGTGACTATTTTGTCCCTTTAGACATTAATTAATGATCATATTAAGTCATCATGATTAGCAAAGCATTTAAAATGTTTATTTCATCTCTATCGCGTATTTTAAAATTTCTATTTATGTATAACATGTGATATTATATAGTTTTATAAATATAAAATTATCACATATATTTAAATATATTTACTATTTTAATATATAATACATGTAATATAGTTCTTTTATATAACAATTTTATATAAATTATGTTATATTTATATATATAACATGACATTACAATTTGTTATACAATTAACATATATAATTACATCATATGCATGTGAAATTTATTAAGTGGTATAATATGAATATAATTTAATGTGTAGTATTAAGTTGTTATAGTTTGTATATATAGTTTATAAGTAATTTATAATATACATTGATCTGTATAATATAGTATATATTATATATTATAATATAATAAATTAATATGTTATATATAACATAATATTCCAAACTATATAATACATAATATTATATATTACATTAGATTATATAATATACCAAATATAATATGTAGTATATACTAATATTATAAAATATATAAATATTTTAAAATATTAAATATAAATACATTAAATTTTTTTAATGCATGCTTTTTTTCCTTAACTGATGAAGGTGTTTTAATAAAACATTTGCAGACATTTGCGGATCTTTTCATAAAAGAGTAGAATCTGCAGACTGGAGACCAGAGTGTGCCCCAGGTTGACAGTTCATGTTTGAACAGAGGCATGGAAGTAATAAGTAAATTGTTTTTCTAGCACAGAATAAATCAATCTGCCTTGAATGGAAAGTTTGGATTGGGAGTATTTCAATGTGGACTGGGTCACCCAAGACAAAACCACAGCGAGATGATTGTATACACCCACTAGAATAGCTAAAATGTTAAAAATTGAGCATACAGTGTTGGCAATAAGATGAACTAACTGGAATGACTTCCAACTCCTTTGGAAAACAGTTTGGCAGTTTCTTAAAAAGTTAGACACAAATGTGTCATACGACTGAGCATTTTACCCCTACGTATTTACTCAAGAGATGTGAAAGCATGCGACCACACAAAGACTTCTATAGAATTTTCACAGTGGCTTCACTTGTAATAGCCCACAACTGGAAACAATCCAAATAACCTCCAGCAGCTAAAGAGATGAACTAAATTAAGTATATTTGTACAACTGAATATTACCGAGCAAAAAGAAATAATTTTTTTTTAAATGCAACAACCCAGATAAATCTCAAAATAAGCTTTCTGCGTAAAAGCTAGGCCAAAAGAAAAGAAAAAAAAAAAGTACCAACTGAGTGATGTGGTTTATATGAAATTCTAGAAGGTCAAATCAGTCTGTTGTAAGAGGAAGCAGGTCAGAGATCACCTAGAGGAGGAGGTGGAGAGATGGATGCATTACAAAGGGACGTGAGGAAACTAGAGGGAGCCTGATGGAAGTGTTTGTTATTTCCATTGTGGTAATAGTTTCATGGGGCATACATGTGTCAAAAGTCATCAAATTGAATACTCCAAATACTTTTCAGTTATTGTATTTAATATACTGTAAAGCTATGCGGAAGAGGTTTTTTTTAATAAATTAGAGTAGATCTTGAGTTTATGGAGTTCACGTTAATATATTTATTATAGGACAAATAGGATAAATAATTTATTTATTATAGGATAAATAGGATAAATAACTTGAGGGATTGGAAATGAAGGAGGAAAAGGAAGCTAGGTCAAGCTTTCTCTAGTGAGGATTCATACATTCTTTTTTATTTGGGCTATTATCCATATTTGCATTTTTACTTTTGCCTCACAGCTAGTAAGTAGAAGTTCAAGTCCAGATCGATATGAATCCAGTTCCTAACACTATACACCATTATATTTTGTATTAGTTTCTTATTACTGCTGTTACAAATTACCACAAGCTTAATGAACCAACTTCAGTTCAGGTCATGATCTCACAGTTTGCAAGTTCGAGCCCCACATCGGGTTCACTGCTGTCAGTGCAGATTCCCTTTGGATTGTTTGTTGCCCTCTCTCTGCCCCTGCCCCACAGGAGCTCTCCCTCTCCCAAAAATAAGTAAAAATTTAAAAAATTTTTAAATAATAAAAATTAAAAATTTGAAAAAACAAAACCGACAGATTTCCAAACCTAGAATAAAATGATATTTTTCCAACAGATATTTCTTCTTGATTACATACTGTTTGACTGTAAATATTATTTTTATTACCTTAACTTAAACCTATTAGGCCTGAAGGGGAGATAGCTGAGTCTAGTATTTAAATATATATATACACACACATATATATATACATATACACACATATATATACATACACACACACACACACATATATATATTTAACTCTTAATTGCCTTCAAAATAGCAACGACTTTCTAAGTGAGTAGATGCTGATTTAAAAAGTTCATATCTAAGATCGCTACTAAGGGAAGCAATCATTTTACCATTATTACAGTATTCTTCTTCTTTGGTCACATCCATGAAGCATATTGGAGAAAAACAGACAGCAGAGTAGAAGTTTCTCCATTAACTCTGATGCCACTGTGGTCTTGGTCTCCAGGTAATTGCAAAGCCCCGGCACAGCTCCCGTTTGCCAGGCCTACAAAACCGATTGAGAAGTTGGAGTTTCCCATTGGGGCATCTTTGAACTACATATGCCGCCCTGGTTACTACAAGAAACAGTTCCGTATCACCTGCCAAGAGAACTTGACCTGGTCAAGTGCTGAAAACAAATGTGAACGTAAGTACCTTTAGACTGAGAATTCCACTGTGTCAGTTAAACGTCCATAAGAGCTGGTTCAATTGTTCAGGTTTTGGAACCAAGATGCATATGACTTAAGAAGTTTGCCTAAAAGGGATTGCAGATGTGAGAGCTATTCTTTGCGTCCTATCTTCCTATTGCTTTGACTTCCTGACACCTTCATTACAAGTTCGATTCATGAGAAATGACTATCACAAGGCATGACTGAGGGAAAACCTCCATTCAGTAGGGGTTCCCCGTTGTCACCACTGAAACTGAGTAACGAGTGACTTGGGAAAGGAAAGAGAAATGTAGGCGGGGAGAAAATCCCACACTTTGAGACCCTGATTTACACTGGTTGAATTACAAAGTGAACACTTTGGGAATAAGGGAAGTTTACATTTTTCTGGGAGGCACAGTATGAGGATGAGGTAGATCTGGAGGAAGGCTCTTTTTGAAAGTGGTGCTTAGTGGGTGGCTGGTCCTAAGGCAGTCTTGTAAGTGTCTTCAAGGGGGCAAAAGCCTTGGAACTACAAATGCTTTTCAGTAAAGGTTGGGACAGCCCGTTGGGATCTTATGTACTTACTAAGAGAAGTTTGGAGTGTTCGATGTCCGGTCCCCAAATTCTACTTCTTTCCCATAGGTAAATCATGTGGAACTCCTCCAGAACTCATAAATGGCAGAATGACCATAAACGGAGACACAAAGTTTGGATCAACTGTTAATTATGCTTGTAATGAAGGGTGAGTCTAGTGCCAAGCATCACTGTTTGGGAGGACAGTTCCAGAATTGTAGCACCAATCTCTAAGCAATAGTCTTAGAAAGTCTACCTGCCTATTAAAAACATAGCAATAAGAGAGGTGCCCGGGTGGCTCAGTTGGTTAAGCTTCTGACTCTTGGTTTTGGCTCAGGTCATGATCCCGATGTCATGAGTCCGAGCCCTGCCTTGGGCTCTGCTCTGATGCTGAAAAGCCTGTTTGAGATTCTCTCTCTCACCCTCTCTCTCTCTGCCCCTCCCCTGCTCTCTCTCTCTCTCTCTCTCTCTCAAAATAAATTTTTTAAAAAAGAGGTTAAAAAACCAGCAATAAGATTTCTAAATAGAAGTGGTGGCTTGAATCCAGGCATTCAACTCTGCCTGAAATGACTAAACAAATATTGGAAAAATAGGAAAAAACCTATATCCGTGCTAGAAACCTGGGGGTGGAGAGGAAAGATGCCTACTGCACAACCAATTAATGTACCTAAAACCAAGCGAAACATTCATTAAATGGACCAGCTCTCTAAAGAAGCAAATGGAACAAACATTAGTTGATCCATGCATATATTCTTGCCCCAAAGCGCCAAGAACTAGAGATGTTGGACTGAGAAGTGGGAAAGAATGATTTGTTTGGGATGATGGAGCTGAATGGTAGACAGGCAAATTTCAATTGTTAGAGCACCTCTCCAGAAACGCACACAGTGCAGAAATCTTGCTGTGGGCATATTCTTGGCTTATCCTGAAGGGAGACAACCAATTCAGGAAAGAAGTAGAGAGACTGCTTTACCATAGATCTTAACTTTTGCTTTGTTTTTATTATTTGTTGCTCACTTAAAATACATTTACTATAGCATAAGCAATAACAATAAAATGAACTTCGGCATATACACCACCTACCTTAAGAAACATTGCTAGTACCTTGGAAGCCTCCTATGTGCCTTTTCCAATTCCCCTTCTACCTCCAACATCTGTGTGGAAGTAGCGACCATCCCGAATTTTGTGTGGTTCGTTCCCTTCCATTTGTTCCCCTTTTCTCCCATACATACTCCAAGTCAGTTTCTATTTAGCTTTCCCTAGTTTAAGCTTTATGTCACTGGCATGATACGCTACGTACTTCTCTTCAACTGGCTTTTCTATTTAACAGTTTGTTTTTGCCAATTATCTATGTGGTTGTGGTTAATTCATTTTCACTTGGGAGAGTATTTCCTTATGTGGGTATGCCACAATTTATTTTTTCTTGCTTGTTATATTTGGATTGTTGCCAGTTTGTTTTACTTTGTTTTGTTTTGGCTACTCTAAGCATTCCTGATATGAATACACATGCCTCCTAGCTCACATGTACAAAAGTTTCCTTAGGACAGTGGTTTTCAAACTTCTCTTACCATGATCCACAGCTAAGAAATGTAGTTTTATAACACACACACACACACACACACACACACACACACACACACATCACACACAATTTTAATATAGATTAAAAGTTATTGAAAACTTCTTACCACTTCTAATCAACATTGTACTGGAGGTTCAAGCCAGGACAATTAATCAAGAAAAAGAAGCAAAAGGCATCCAAATTGGAAGGAAGGATTAAAACAGTTTCTGTTTGGGGGCACCTGGGTGGCTCAGACAGTTAAGAATCCGACTTCAGCTCAGGTCATGATCTCACAGTTCATGGGTTTGAGCCCCGCATTGGACTCTGTGCTGACAGCTCAGAGCCTGGAGCCTGCTTCAGATTCTGTGTCTCCCCCTCTCTCTGTCCTTCCCCTGCTCACGCTCTCTCACTCTCTCTCTCTCAAAAATAAACAAACATTAAAAAATTTAAATAAATAACTGTTTGAAAATGATGTGTTTTGTATAGAAAATCCTAAGGAATGTACACACACACACACACACACACACACACACACAAAACCTATTACAGCTAATAAATAGTTCAACAAGATTCAGGATATCAGACCAATACACAAAATTAAATTGCATTTCTATACTCTAGCAATAAACAATCTGAGAATGAAATTAAGAAACCAGTTCCACTTACAATAACATCAAAAAAAATAAAATCACTTAGAAATAAACTGCACCAAAGAAGTATAAAATTATACACTGAAGATTATGAAATATTTTTGAAAACAAAATGAAAGAGGATCTACATAAATGGAAATATATTCTATATTCATAGATTGGATGACTTAATATTGCTAGTGTTATAATAATATTGAATATTATAGAATTATAGAATATTGACTTCACCAAATTGACCCGCAGATTTAATACAATCCCTATAAATTCCAGCATCCTTTTGCAGAAATCGACAAGTTGATCCTGAAATTCTTATGGAAGTGCAAGGCACCCATACAGTCAAAAAAAATCTTGAAAAAGCAGAACTTCTCAATTTCAAAACTTAACTATAAACCTACAGCAATCAAGAATGTGTGATACTGACATAAGGGCAGATGTACAGATCAATAGAACAGAATTGGGAATCCAGAAGTAAAACCATACATTTATCATCAACTATTTTGCAACAAGGCACCAAGACTGTTCAAAGGTAAAAGAAGAATCTTTTCAACAACTGGGCCTGGGGCAACTGAATAACCAAATACAAAAGAGTGAAGTAGGAGGAATGCATGTCATGAATTGCGCCAACAGATTAAACCTGAAATGTTGGAGGAACCCAACTCAGTCTGGAAGTATAATAAATATTTTCTATATACTGCTAGATCTGTTTTATAATATTTTATTTCAGATTTTTTTCCTTTTTATTCTCATAAGTATGATAGGCCTCATAATTTCCCATTCTCATGCTGTCCTTGTCTGGCTTTATAACCAATTTATCCTCATAAAATGAGCAGAGTGTGTTTCTTTTCTGAAGCAGGCTTGATCTATCAATTTTTTTTTCCAATTTTCTCTTGTATTTCTGGGTTTTCTTTTATATATTTGAGGCTATGTAATTAGGTGCATACACATTTAATACTTCCTTATCTTCCAAGAGCATTAAAACTTATGTCGATTGCAAGAACTTCCAGTTCCAGGACACGATGGGCAGACTCACTTTTCTCTGCGTCTCTCTATGTAGCTAAATACCCTGGAAACTGTTCAACACGTAACCATGAAAGGACCACAAAAGGTGGAAAGGAGATGGGCTGGAGGACTATAAAACGTAAAGAGTGACCCCGTAGTGAGGTCCCTGGATTTCCTTTTTATCTCCAAGACTGGGTGCTTGGAAGGAACGCAACCCTGAATATTCAGCAGGCAGGAAGAGAGGGAGAGAGAAGCCTGTTCTCTGGTCAAAGGGCTGGGAAAAGCAAAGCTTAGTGGGGAGGTGGTGGGGAGACATGTTGATGGCAATAGTGGTCCAATCTGCCCAGCTTAGCAGCATAAGCGGAAATCAGGGATGGGGTCAGGGGAGCGTCTCTCCTTCTCGGAGAAGCCCTGAGAAGCAGCAGGTCCCCAGGTCACCAGCAGCTGTATCAATGGTAGAACCTGGGCTTCAGTCCCAATGACAATTTTATCTAATGCCGCACACCAGCCAGCAGCAGTGAGCTCTCTTCTGCCGGTGGTGACGGCGTCAACGGAGCCCAGTTGGCGAGACCTAGACTTCAACCCAGCAGCAGAAAGGGAACCAGGTTCGGGGTTTCCTCCTCCTCCATGCAGTAGGAGAGAGCCTCCCAGACCCATGACTCCTGGTTCTCCACCCAGCAGCAAAATGCAGCCTAGATAGGGGCTTCCCTCCCCTGGTGGCCACAACACAAAACGAAGGGGGAGCTCCCCCCTCCCCAGATAGCCAGAGAACAGGCCAGGGAGGTTCCTCTCCATGCAAGGGTTGAACATCTCTCACGCCTCACCTAGTGGTACCAGGCAGGTCAGAGAAGCGCCTCCGCCGTCCCAGGCAGTGTCAGCAGGGATGCGGAGCCAGGAGAATGAAGCCGACCAGAATAGCCCTGCAAGACTGGAAAATCCAATTGTCGTTGGAACTAAAGCCCACAAAAATAGGCCAGAATCTACACACTACCCTAAAGAGAGCGGTTACGTGCTAAACTTGATTTCACTAAGAGCAAGAGTCGCTTAACACAATATCCCAAGTGTTAGGATCCAAGAGAAAAATCACGTGTCACATCAAGAACCAGGGAAATCGCAGCTTGACTGAGAAGGGATAATCAATACCAGTAAGTATGCCAATGCCAAGATGAGTCAGATGTTGGAACTATCTAACGAAGATTTTAAAGCAGCCTTCATAAAATCGCTTCAATAAGTAATTACAAATTCCCTTGAGAAAAATCTTAAAGGCAAGCAAAGAGAAAGGACACACTACCTATAGGGGAACACAATTTGAATGGCAGTGGGTTTACTATCTGAAAATATGGAGGCAAGAAGGAAGTAGCACACCTTTTCCAAATACGAAAGAAAAGAACTTATTAACTGTGAACTCCATGTCTTTAAAAATATTAATCGCATACCTGGAATAAATCCCAGTTGGCTATTGTATATGATTCTTTTTATGTACTGTTGGGTTTGATTTGTTAATACTTTATTGAAGTTTTTTTTACTGTCTATAAAATGTTAGCAAATCAAACCCAGTAAGGCATTAAAAAAATTGCCTACAGTGACCACAGTGGAAACTACTCCGGGTATGCAAGACAGATTCAACATTCAAAAGTCAATCAACATAATCAACTATATTAACAGGCTAAAGAGGAGAAAATTTTTAATATTTTAGAAGTGTCTTATGTATGTATTTTAAGAGAGAGAGAGAGCGGAAGAGGGGCAGAGGGAGAAGGAGAGAGAGAATCCCGAGCGGGCTCCACACTGTTAGCATAGAGCCCGATGTGGGTTCTAGCTGGTGAACTGTGAGATCATGACCTGAGCTGAAATTGAGTCAGACACTTAATTGACTGATCCACCCAAGCTCATATTAATTTGTATGCTCAAAGTAGAAAATATATATGCTCATATCAACGGTCCCAGAAATTGCAGTTGACAAAGTCCAATAACAAATCATGGTAAAAACTCACAGCAAGTTAGGGATGGATTTGAACAAGTCTGAAATCAAGGTGTAAGCAGGTTGGTTCCTACTGGAGACTCTAAGGAAGAATTTATTCCATGCTTTTCCCCTAGCTTCTGGTGGTTACCAGCAGTCCTTGGTATCACTTGGCTATAAACACATCTCTCCATCTCTGCCTCTGTCTGGCTTTGCCTCACATGACTTTGCCTCTGTATGTGTTACCTTTGTCTTCCCTCTGTGTGTCTCTTTGTCCAAACTTCCTTCTTCCTTTGAGGACACCAGTCATTGGAGTAGGGCCCCCGCTAATCCAGTGTGACCTCATCCTAACTCTGTTACATCCGCCACAAACTTATTTCCAAATAAAGTCAGATTCTGAGGTTTCAGGACGTAAATTTAGAGGCATACTATTGAATCCAGAATGGACATGAATGGACATGTCATTGAAGAGAATATGCGATGTAAGTACATGAACATATATTCAGCTTCATTAGCCATTAGGAGAATGCAAACTAAAACAACACGGGGGTGGGGGGGCGCGCCTGGGTGGCTCAATTGGGTGAGCGTCCGACTCTTTGGATACATGTCATTTTACATTTGTCCAAGCCCATAGAATGTCCAACACCAAGAGTGAACCCTGATGTAAACTATGGACTTGAGATGATAATGATGTGTCCACGTAGCTTCATCAATTGCAACAAATTGTACCATTCTGGTGGGGGATGTTGGTAATGTGGGAGGTTGTGCATGTGTGTGGAAAGGGAGTATATGGTAAATCCCTGTACCTTCTGGTCAATATTTCTGTAAACTTGAAACTCCTCTTAAAAATAGTCTGTATAAAAAAAATTGCATAGATGTAAATACACATGCACCCCTCACACAAATTAGCACAAATAAAACTGAGGAAATTTGAACCAAATTGGCAGATCATACCTATGCCAATGTCCTGGTTGTAATATTCTACTATAGTTTTGCAAGAGATTATCAATGGGGGAGATATTCCACATTTATGGAACACTTGGAATAGTTTGTGGCATACTAAGTGAGAATTTCTGCCTTGACCATTTTAAATATGAAATCAGTGTTGGACTTTTGTTGTTCTGTTTGGATTTCCTTTGGTTTGAGGTTGATGAATCTTAAATACTGTAGGTTTCTACAAAAGCGTGGCTTAAAGTAGAGAGAGCCCATTTAGTTGAGAAGGCATGAAGAAAAAAATTTAAAGTCCAAATGAAGACATAAACTTTGGGAAAGTGATAGTACTATGACAAATGGAAATTGTCCTTCTGAATTCTCCAAGATTGCGATCTCTAGTAAGTAGCAATATAAGTAGGAAAATGAACAGGGAATATAACATTCATTCTTCTTTATCTTTAGATACCGACTCATTGGTCAGCCCTCTAGCACGTGCCTCATCTCGGGCAATACTGTCGTCTGGGATAACAACCCACCTACTTGTGAAAGTGAGTTGAGATATTCTTTCCTGTTACCTTCACCAATGGATTCTAAGTTTCCTCCTGGAGTTGTAAAAATCTTAATTGAATTCCTTTTGTGCATTCTGTCCCTCAATCCCTAGGGGGTTTCTGGCAACTGTTTCCTTAAATGTTTCCTTATCCCAGGATGTGCTTTTTCTGAATCTGGGGACTTAAATGCAGAAAAGCCTTCAAACTTTATTTTTACTTCAAATAATTTGGAATTATGTTGACTGTACCACCCCCAGTATAACAATCATTCTGCTTGGCAAATTAGTGAAGATTTTTTTTTAAGTGTTACTCTCGAAGGTTGGTGAAGCTGTGTATGAATCAACACTTTCATGTACCTAGAGTTACACAAAACCTCTTGAAGGGTACCATGTACTGTGACCCTCAAAAGTGGGCATCTATTTTGACCCAGTTCTTAGAACTTATGCTTGGGAAATAAACACAGACTTTTACTAGGAGTTCACTGTAAACGTTTCATTGTTGCATTCTTTATAATGGCAAAAATGTTAAAGTAACCTAAATGTTTCAAATCATGGTCTGGAAAGTACTGGAAGGAGTCATGTTAATAATGACTATGGAGAATTCCCTAAGAAACATAAAATCAGAGTTAGAAGAAATACCAGCCATGCACCAGAATATTATTCAGCCATTAAAAAAAAGGGGGTGGGTCACCTGGGTGGTTCAGCTGGTTAAGCTTGGGACTTCAGCTCAGGTCATGATGTTACAGTTTGTGGGTTGGAGCCTCTCCATCGGGCTCTGTGCTGACAGCTCAGAGCCTGGAGCCTGCTTCAGATTCTGGGTCTCCTCTCTCTCTGCCCCTTCCCAACTCTTTCTCTCTCTCTCTATCTCAAAAATAAATAAGCATTAAAAAAAAAGATGTCATGGAAAAGCACTTCATGACATGTAAAGATGCTAATTATATATTTTATGTGAAAAAATTAGGTGACAGGACAGTACTCTGGCTAGATCTCTTAATTTAAAGGTAACACACCTATATCTATTCCTGTATTTTCATCTCTGTTTCTAAATCTGTAACCTTTTCTCTATCTAAACCTTGGTGAATGGCTTTCCGCCTCCTTGGTGAAAGTGGGAGGAAACTTCTTGTATACATTTTGACCGTGCAGCCGCATGCTTTCTCAAGAAGATCCAGTCTCCTATTTATTCAAACTGCCCTAGGTCCATAAACTGGCTCTCAAGTCTGGGCATTGGTTGGTGAATAACCATAACTTTTTTTTTTTTTTTTCAGTGATTCAAGTCAAACCTAGATCTTTTCTGCTTCTACCCATCTAATAACACTTTAGTCTGTTATTCTTCTATTTCGGTTTTAGAGATTCCACAATCAATCAGCCAGGAGCAACGATTTCTACAGGCAATTTCTGTTTCCATTGTCTCTGGCCCTCTGGCCCTCGAGTGTTGCCACTTGACGCCTACCATCCTGAGGTCGTTCCGTCACCATGAAATGCAGGGAAGACAGTTCCATAACTAAATCCCAATGTCATTCCCAGCCTACAGAGAATAAGCACCATAGATGTTTTTCAAGGTTACTGAATATTCTGCATGAATGTATTACTCAAAGCCTTGGGTGAAAAGATAAATGTTCTCTCTCTCTTTTTTTTTTTTTTAATTTTTTTAACACTTATTTATTATTGAGAGACAGAGCATGGGCTTGGGAGGGGCACAGAGAGCGGGAGACACAGAATCGGAAGCAGACTCCAGGCTCTGAGCTGTCAGTACAGAGCCCAACGCGGGGCTTGAACCCACAAACCGCGAGATCCGGACCTGAGCCCAAGTTGGATGCTCAACTGACTGATCCCCCCAAGCTCCCCTAAAAGTTCTCTCTTTCAACACCCCACCCCTGTGCACATTGGTGGGGAGTTGACAAACAGATACTACATAAATCCACTCTGGCATTCGTAAACCCCAAATCATAGAATTGCTTCCTCAATAGTATCCTGAAAAAGCTCTGGTATTTCAGCTTCGTTCAGCAGAGGCCAGACTCTGACCCGCTGAATTCACAGTCTCATTTCTGGTGTTCTGCACCTTCTTGTAGGTCATAACTTGTACTCCCCACCCCCTCCTGTACTTCCAGGTCTGCCAGGACTTAAATCAGGTTTAAGGACCAGAAACAATGCGAAGTAGTAGGGGTAGGTCCGGAGGAAGATCAGCGGTCCCTGAAATTTGGGCTGCCCGATTTAGTAAATAAAAATACACGATGTTCAGTTAAACTCAAATTTCAAATAAGCAACAAATACTTTTGTATTCTAACTATGTGCCTTGCGATATTGGGGATATACTTACCCTTAGAGTTTTTTCAATGTTTTTCTGAAATTCAAATTTAACTGGACATTCTATATTTTCTCTGGCAATCCTATCAGGGCATCTGCCTCACGAGAGATCATTACAGTTTCTTTAGAGAAGGGAGGACCCCCTCAGACAGGGGAGGAGGGCCTGTTTCCCCTAGCAAAGGAGACTCAGCAGAACTCCCAGGTTCAAGGTATTCAGCTTTGCTCAAATCTGTCCATATATCTCCATCCCAATTTTCAGAGTCCTCCTTCCAATCAGTTCTCAAACTTTAACATAAGAGACCCTGTCGTGAATTCAATTTGTCGTGGAATCCAGCTACGGGATTGATTAGATGTTAGATTTGTGCTTCAGAAATTTTGGCTCTGTGGCTACGGAATGCAAGTGTTTTTCTTTTCTTTTTTCTTTTTAAGTTTATTTATTTATTTTGGGAGAGAGAGAGAGGAGAGACAGTGAACGTGGGAGCTGGGGAGGAGCAGAGAGAGAGGGAGAGGGAGAGAGAATGCTGTCAGCGCAGAGCATGAAGCGGGCTCTATCACACCAACCTTGAGATCATGACCTTAGCCCAAATCAAGAGTCAGAGACTCAACTGACTGAGCCACCTAGGTGCCCTACAAATATTTCTTTTAGGGCAGGTAGAGAAGCTTTCAGAACCAGACCTTGAACAGGAATTTAGAGCATTTTCTTTCTCTTAAGTTCTCCAAAGCACTTGGAAGCAAGCAACCAACCAGCTCGCTTTTCCTCCCTTCCTTCCTTCCTTCCTTCCTTCCTTCCTTCCTTCCTTCCTTCCTTCTCTCCTACTTGCTTCCTCCCTTCCTCCCTCCCTTCTTGTCTTCCTTCTCTCTTTTTTTCTTATACTAGATAGGACCCCTAATAAAATCTTGATGAAGGTATCTTTGTCTTGTTCCCCATCTCAAAGGGAAAGATTGAAATATTTCACCATTAACCAATATTTACTGTAGGCTTTTGTAGATACCCATTTTTAGATTAAGAAAATTCCCTTACAATATTCTTCATTGCTAAGAATTTTTTTTATCATTAAACCGTAAAGTTTACCAAACACATTGGCTACATATAGTGAACAGTCATATCTGTTTCTCCATTACTCTCTCTCTCTCTTTTTTTAATGTTTATTTCTTTTTGAGAGAGACAGAGACAGAATGTGAGTGGATTGGGACAGAGAGAGAGGGAGACACAGAATCCAAAACAGGCTCCAGGCTCTGAGCTGTCAGCACAGAGCCCGACGCGGGGCTCGAACCCACAAGCTGCAAGATCATGACCTGAGCTGAAGTCGGATGCTCAACCGACTGAGCCACCCAGGCGCCCCTCTCCGTTACTCTCTTAATGTAATGAATAGTTTTAATTTCTTTTTGAAAGACAAACTGATTTTGAATTCCAATTTTATATTCTTGGAATACATCAACTTGACAAAATATTTTATAATTTTTGTATGTTGTTTAATGTGCTTTTGTAATGTATTTTAGATGTTTTTGAGATATAATTTACATATCATAAAGTTACTCTTTTAAAGGATACACTGTAATGATTTTTAGTATATTCATAAGGTTGTGCGACCAGCACCACTCATTCTAGAACACTTTTATCACCCCATTCCTAGTGTTTTTTAGAGGGATCAGACTGTAATATTTTTCCCATGACTTAAATATCCCGTGTAATATTTTTCCCATTTCATTTCTCCCGTGAGAAAAAAAATGAAATATTTTTCTCATGTCCTTATGAGGTTTTGGTATCAAACTTACAATAGACTCATAAAGCCATCTGATTGTGTTCCATAGATTTGTTTCCCTTTAAGGCATTATTTCTTCCTTAGATATTCGAAAAAAAACTCACCAATAAAGCCCTATTGCCTATAGTTTATGTTGCTGGAAGTTCTTTTTTTCTTCTCCTTTTTTAAATCTCCAAGTTTTTATTTAAATTCCAGCCAGCTAACATATAGTGTAATATTAGCTTCAGGAATAGAATTGAGTGATTCATCACTTATATACAACACCCAGTGCCCATCACAAAGAGTGCCCTCCTTGATAGCCATCACCTACTTAACCCATCCCCCTGCCCGCCTCCCCTGGAAGGTCTTTTTTGCAACAATTTTTTCACACCATCTAGACTTTTTATTGAAAGACATATATTTATATATTACTGCATATATATAAAGTGCTCAGTAGTAATTATTCACTTCAATGAATCTTTACAAAGTGAACACACCCACATTAATAGCATTCAAATAAGATACAGCACATCAGAAGCTTCCCCATGCTCTTCCTCAGGGCTCATCTTTCCCAAATAACCATTATTCTGGCTTCTATCACAAGGATTAGTTTGCCCCGTCTTGAATTTTCTATTAAAGGAAACAAAAAGCATGTACTCTTTTGTGTCCAACTTCTGTTGAGTGTTATATGTAGGAGACTTATCCATGTTGTTGCATATGGATTAATTGGATCTTTTTTTTAATTGTTGTATGTATTTCATTGTAAGAACTTAACAATGAATTCGTAAACTCAGCTGTTTATATATCAGTACTTTATGCATGTGCATATGCAATAAATATCCATATATATGCAAATATAAATTTTCAAATCTTTATATATATATATATGCACATCTATATAGTGTTTATATTTACATAAGTGGAATTGTTGAGTTTGAACATAGCCAGTCTTCATAGATACTGCCAAAAGATGTCATACTGTGGTTGTACACATTACACTTCTACCGAAATCAGATGGAAAGTCCAGCTGCTCAATATCTTTGTCAACTTGATAGTTATCAATTGTTTAAATTTCAGCGATTCTAGGGGCTCACTGTGGCTTTAATTTGCATTTTCCTAATGACTGATGATGCAGAGCACCTTTTCATATCTTTGTGCAGTGCCTGTTCAAAAATTTCACCCAATGTTTGCTAGTTTGTGTATCTTTTTTATTGTCTTGGAGAAATTCTTTATACACAATGAACATAACACAATAAACAAAACACATTTTCTTCCAGGCTAAAATTGGTCGTTTTGCTTTCTTAATGATGTCTTTTGATGATAGAACGTATACATTTTTATAGTGTTTTTTAATAAGACTCAATAAATCTTTTCCTTTCTAGTCACTACTTTCTCTGTTCTTTTTTTTAATGTTTTTATTTTTTATTTTTGAGAGAGAGAGAGCAAGTATGAGTGGGGAAGGGGCAGAGAGAGAAGGAGAGAGAGAATCTTAAGCAGGCTCCACACTCAACATGGAACCTGACATGAGGCTTGACCCCACAATCCTGGGATCGTGACCCGAGCCTAAATCAAGAGTTGGATGCTCAACCAACTAGCTGGGCCACCCAGGCGCCCCACCACTTTCTCTGTTCTATGGAAGGAAGCTTTGCCTATCATTTTATCTCTTAAGTTTATGATTCACCTCAAATTTATTTTTTGTGTGGTGTGAAGTATGGTCAAGGAATGTATTTCCTTTTTTGTATGTGTTTTTGTTTGTTTTTTTCCTAATGGGTAGGCAATTCATCTAATATTACTGATTTTAAAAACCATTAAAAAAACATTTTTGTATATCACCATACAATAGTTTAATATCTGTGTCAGGTGTCATTATATGTGGGTCTCATTTCAGAGAGGTTCTGTGCTATTTTCATTACTATAGTTTTCATTACTATAGTATTTCATTACTATAGTATTCATTACTATAGTATTCATTACTGCAGTATTCTAATAAGAGTTGATATCTGGTGGCATATCCTCTGCCATGTACTTCTTCCAAGATTTATTTGGTGATTCTTGGCCCTTTGCATTTCCATATAAAATTTAGAACCAGCTTGTCAGTTTCCACAAAAAGAATACTACTTGAATTGGCATTGGGTTTCTATTGACTCAGCAGATGCAATTGTGGGCCACTTACATTTTTTAATTTTAAATTCATGAACATGAATTTTTGAAATTTTTGAAATCTTAATAATATTTGCCTATTTACATTATAGAAAATAATGTAAACATAGATATGTAACATTGAAAAATGTAACATTTTCTAATTGTTTCTTAAACACGCAATCATTTGACTTTGGAACCAACAATCTTGCTAAATTTACTTAGAAATGCAGTAGTTTATCTGTATATTCTTTTGGATATGCTGTATAAATAATCATGTCATTGGTAAATAATTATCCTATTTTTTTAATCTTTTCCTTTCTTGTAGCTTTTTATTTCTCTTGCTTTACTGCGTTGGCTAGAACCTCCAGTACAATGTTGAATGGAAGAGAAGATACCGGGTTTTTAAAAAAATTTTTTTGTAATGTTTATTTATTTTTGAGAAAGAGAGGCAAAGTGTGAGTGGGGGAGGTGCAGAGAGAGAGAGAGAGAGAGAGAGAGAGAGAATCCAAAGCAGGCTCCAAGCTCCAAGCTATCATCACAGAACTTGATGTGGGGCTTGAACCCACAGACTGTGAGATCATGACCTCAGCCTATGTCAGATGCTTAACGGACTGAACCACCCAGGTTTTTTAATAGTCATTATATTGGTTTTTTAATATTGGTTTTTTTAATAGTCATTATAAAGCATGATGTTTACAGAAGGTTTTAGGGAGATATTCTTTATCAGATTAAGGAAGTTGCTTTTTATACCTAACTTGCTAAAAGATTTATCACGAATGTGTATTCTAATTTATCACTGTTCATCTAATGAGACAATCAGATCCTATTTCTCCTTCATTGTGTCAGTTTTTGTGCTTTTACATTGATCTCACAAGACATTATTGTTGTTTTTATAAAAAGAGTATTTATACTCCTCCATCTATTAACTATTTCTGCTACACTTCCTCCAAATTGCAGTTCAGTCAGTTCTTTATGACACTATTTTCCTTCAATCTAAAAAATTATCTTTTAGCATTTTTGTATTGTAGATCTTCTGGCAATAGATTCTTTAAATATTTTTCTAGGCATGGTTTCTTAAAAGTTATCACCCCTGTTTTCTGGCTTCTTTTAAAATTGATTGCTCTTGATTTTTTTTTTTTACAATATTACTATGATGTGTCTAGGTAAAGTTTTTCCTTTTTTTTTTTTTAGTATTTGTATTGTTTGAGTTTTATGGCTTCTTGAATCTGTAGGTTTAATGATGTCTTTTATTGGTTTTGGAAAATTCTCAGCCATTACTTCTTCAAATGTTCATGCCCTGTGTTATCGCTCTCCTCTCATTATCGGAATTCACTTAAACATGCATTAGGCCTTCCTTATCCCTCTATCCTATAAGTCTATTACTCTTTTTTATGTATTTCTGATCCTTCTGTGTCTCTGTGTTTTATTCTGGATATTTTCTTCAGTCCTGGCTTCCAATTCATTGATCTTTATTCAACTGTGTCCCACCTGCTGTTAATTCCATCAGATTCTTAATTTCAGTAACTGTATTTTACAATGACAACAACTTTTATTTGATTCCTTTCAAAATTTTCCCTGTTGTTTTTAATTGTTTCTTGTTCTTACCAAAAGTTTGGGTTTCGTCTATTTTACCTTTGAATAGATAAACATAATTATCTTAAATCTGTGAGTGAAAATTCCAATAGCTGGGGTCCTAACGGTTCAGTTTCTATTGTCAGTGATTATGCTGCTTCTTATTCATGTTATTTTATCTCATTAAGTACTCATTAAGTATTTTATCTCATTAAGTATCTCATTGATTGTATGTCAGGAATTATACTTGAGAACCTTTCTCTGTACAAATAAATTCAAGGTCTTAGAAAACGAACCTTCTTCAGGAAGGATTTTTGTTGTTGTTATTTCTTCCAGAAACCTGGGGACCTAGCAGTCTGGGACCACTTTCATTCAATTTCAGAAACTGTTATTTTTCTAGGCCACCCACAGTACTTGAGGAACAACTCCAGTAATCTTGATTCCCAAGGCCTATTTCTTTGAGGTCCCTATAAGTATACAGCAGAAGATATTACCAAGGCTTCCACCTTGCAAGATCTGGATTCCACTTTAGTTCCTTGACTCCTTGAGACTATCAAAGTCTGCTCACCACTCAGATCCCCCCTCCTGATTCAGCTATCCTTCCCGCAGAACAGCAGCCTAAATGCCTCTTACCCAGCTTTTTATTTTCTATCAGATTATGGTCTGGTAATGCTTCACTAGTTCATTGCTTTCTGATACATCCACAGACATAGTTTATATTTTATCCAGCATTTATAGTCTTTCTTGGGGGGGGGGAATGGAGGGGTAGAATGATGTTTGATTTAAATTGTTAAGGTTACCCTTATCAGAAGGAGTATCCTTCTTAAGAATTTTTATTTTTAATTTCAAGTGTTTTGGAGTTTTGGCTGAAGTTACTTCGTTCTAGTTATATAGTATTATAGTCGTACAATGTACTATGTCCTACTTCTAGATTTTCAACTGTATTGTGAGTTGTTTTTTTTTTTTTTTATGAACTAATATATGATCCCTTTTACATGGGTATCATGTTGTGATACCAAACTCAGGCTTGATGAAATGAGTTGGTAAGTTTTCTATTTTCTACATCTTGTGAAAAATTTGAAATTACATTTGAAAGTACATATTACCTGAAAGTAACTTGATAGCATTTTTATGTAAAATATTTTCTTCTATTCTTACAAGTTTCTTTGCCCATTCTAGCTTTCTATATTTTCTTGAATGCATATTGGTAATTTACATTTCCATTTATATCATTTAGATTTTCAAAATGTTTAATTAACATATATTAGCCTACAGCTTTATAAATTTCTCATATACATGCAAATATATTCAATACTATTTCCCACTGTTGTATATCTGTGTTGTTTCTCTTCCCTTACATTTTTTTCTTTTAGCAAGGGTTTTTTTTTTTAATTTTTTTAAAGCTTTACTGAGCTAATAACAAAAATGAAAATTAAGAAGGAAAATGGAAAAGAGTAGGGGAAAGCTGTGTAAAGTATGGTAAAATAAAATGATCAAAGAGCTGTTTAAAATGAAAGGAATGTGAATTATATTAAAAATGCGTATGCTTATAGGAAATAATGTAAGAAAGGCAGTACGCGTGCTATTTATTATGCCCACCTAAATGACGACTTTGTACATTGAGGAGGGCACCTGTTGGGATGAAACCTGGGTGTTGTATGGAAACCAATTTGACAATAAATTTCATATTAAAAAATAAATTAAAAATAAATTATGACTTTGTAAAAACATACCCACATGTGAGGAAAGATCAAAAGCAAATAGCAAATGTAAAAAGAGTTATACTCATTGGATCTCTGACTAGTTATTTTAATTCACTATTATTTAAGTCACTGTCTCTTTTCCCAGGAATTCCTTGTGGGCCGCCCCCAAACATTGCCAATGGAAGTTTCACTAGCATCAACAGAGAATATTTTCCATACGGGACGGTGGTGACCTATCACTGCAATTCTGCACAGAGAGGGAAAAAGCCGTTTGAGCTTGTGGGCCAGCCGTCAATATATTGCACCAGCAAAGACAACCGCGTCGGCACATGGAGCGGCCCTCCCCCTCAGTGCATTATACCTAATAAATGCACACCTCCGGAAATTGAAAATGCAATAATAGTATCTGAGCGCAAAACCTTATATTCCTTAAATGAAATCGTGGTGTTTATGTGTGAGTCCGGCTTTGACATGAAAGGACCCTCCAGTGTGAAATGCCAACCTCGAAACAGATGGGAGCCACAGCTGCCAAGCTGCTCTAGGCGTGAGTCTGACTGAGGCTTTGAAGGGGCCTACAAATGGCATGAGTTGTAAAAGGATCGGGAGATTAGTGTTTGTTCCGGGGGAGGATGCATGGGAAGCAGTGTGGGTCAATTTGGGGAGATGGAGCATGAAATTAAGAAAGTGGGCGTGTGCATGTATGTGTGTGTGCACTTATGTATATGCGCCTTCGTTTTGAAAGCAGGAGCTTAGTTAATCAAGGAAGGAGACATTTGAGACTCTCTTATTGAGCACGTCTCCGGGCGAAATACCAGCTCCAATATCTCTCAAATATATTGAAAACTGAGGTGGACTTTCTAGTCAGCTGTGTCATAAGCACTCCAATTTTTTTAGTCTTTATTTATTTTTGAGAGAGCAGGCAGGGAAGGGGCAGAGAGAGAGGGAGACAGAGCATCCGAGGCAGGCTCTGCACTGTCAGTGCAAAGCCTGATGCGGGGCTCGAACCCACTAACTGTGAGATCATGGACCTGAGCCGAAGTCAGACGCTCAACCGGCCAGGCGCCCCTGCGATCAGCACCTTAAATGCATGATCTCATCTACCCTTCACAACACTTCTTTACAATAGGGCTATTCTTATATCCATATGGCAGTGAAGTTTGTTTGGTATTTCAGAAGTTGAGTAAACCGTCCAGATCACGTGCTATTAAGTGGAGTACCCAGGAATGGAAGCAAATGGGTCAGACTCCAGGGCCTGAGTTCTCTGGTCCTAGTTATACTTCTGTCAGCATCTCTCCCAGAAAATAAGAAACTGGCTTATGAAGACAGATATCATAGCCTCAGAACAGTGGCCAAGACCTTAGAGTTTGTCTGTTCTGGTCCATCTCCTACATTTTATCATTAGGAATCTCAAGTTGAGAGTGAAAGTTGCTTAAAGCCAAACAGATTTTCCCTCATTGTTAATTGGATATAGATTAGGTTGAAGTGCAAATGAGTTCAGATGCCTTGAGCACGAAGAGGGCTATGAATGGAGGTAGCCAGACCTTGAGTCAAATACTCTTTAAGCAATATGCCCTCTCGTTACAAGGATGGGTTTATTGAGTGGATGTTGTTCTCAGTGGCTTATCTCAATGGCCTTGTATGCCACAATAGTTGCCTTAGGAGTGGATGGGTAAATGCTGTGGCTGATACGTAGGGACAAAGACGGACTTTACCATTCTTGTGCCAACTAACACCAGCCTTGTACAACCACTGAGAGCTGGAAGGACAAACAGACAAAGTGATATAAATATGAATGATTACTACATTCGATCATAGGAGTACAGTAAAAGACATGGGAAACCTATTAAATAGATTTAGGCTCAGGCAGCCCTCTCCTCTGAAAGATGAGCCTGTAAATTGGATCGCCTTTCTAGCAAATATGTGGGCGGAGAACCCCACCAATACCAATAACTCCATCTTGAATAGCCAGCACTAGAAGAAGGGACTTGTAAATGTATTTCAGCTTGTGCTGGGGAGAACTTGGCTCTAATTATCTGCTTCTGACTAGCTGTGAGGTCTTCGGCTACATCTCCATATTTTTAACTTCCATATCAGTAAAAGGAGGGGGCTAGAGTATCGTTTGATTTCCCTTCTTATAACACCAAACCCCTTTAACTGTGTCTCTGACTCCTCAGAAGGGTTAGAATTTAGCAAAAGATATTTCTCCATAAATGACTGGTACTTTGCACCTGTTCTTTCCACAGTATGTGCACCGCCTCCGGAAATTCTGCATGGTAAGCCCACCCCAAGCGACAAGGACAGTTTTTCCCCTGGGCAGGAAGTATTCTACAGTTGTGAGCCGGGCTATGATCTCAGAGGGACTGCTTCTGTGCGCTGTACGCCCCAGGGAAACTGGAGCCCAGCAGCCCCTACATGTGCAGGTACCTGCGGTTTCCTCTGGTTTGCAGATCAGTCTTCTTATTCTTCACAGAGGCAGTCTTACCTCTTTGTTGTTGTTGTTGTTGTTGTTGTTTTCCTAGTGAAATCATGTGATGACTTCCTGGACCAACTCCCTAATGGTCGTGTGCTCTTTCCACTTAATTTCCAGCTTGGGGCAAAAGTGTCCTTCATTTGCAATGAGGGGTGAGTATGATGACCTGGCATGGAGACCAGGGACTCAGTTCTGGATGCTAGTATGCTGGCGCCCTGGGCAGTGGGGGTTTATCCAAAAAGCAAGCTGTCTAATGGAACAGAAGTACCAAAAAAGACTAGTATTTGAGGCAACGATTGGGAAGTAATGTAGCAACCACATAGAACCATGAACGGATGCTTAAAAAGGAAGAACAGTAAAATATACTGAACAGCAGAAGTATAACAACAGATCTTGACTATTGAAGTGAAACTATTTATTACTACTGATGCCTATTTATTACACGTATGAATAAAAAGTAATTTGTAGGCGCCAAGGGAGAAATATTGCAGAGGGGTTGTTTTAAAAAAGTTTGATATAGAAAAGAAAGTTACTTATAAGATAAGTGACATGCAGGGACTGTTTCAAGAAAATTTGAAACCAGTCAGTAGTGAAATGTGGAATAGGAATGAAAGAGTAAATGGGAGTATTTTTAAATCTAATTATATGTCATCTGATTAGGATTAGGCTGTGTTGAAGGAGCATGAAGACTGATGTTCATGTTCCAAGCAATGTCATTAACTCTTTCTGTGACTGTAAGTGATCTTGGTATTATGTTCCCACACCGCTGACAGGTAAAAAGCATGTTGTTGTCAGTACATTCCAAGGGCCCTTCATCAGGCATCAAATATCTGTCACCCAATAAACACCTGGAGGCAACTCAGGCAGCTATTGGTCCAACAATAAGCCAGATGTTTGGGGATGATTGTCCTCCAAAGAATCCTCTCTTCTCACCTTTTCTTATTTTTCCTAGATAATTTGGTTTTCTCATCAATAATCTGGATATGCCACAGGTGTCATTCGGGAACATTCCGAATGTGTTGGCAAAAAAGGGCAGTCTCTGATGCCTTTCTCTTTGCTAACTTGAATTGGAAGTTGTTTCCCTCCTGGTCCAGTAACGCTACGGGTTGCGTTAGAGGACAAAGTTCCTTACAGAGACAAATAGGGAGCTGTCCGAGGGCAGTCAGGGGCAGATGACCTCCTGAAGTCCGAAGACCAGAGACAGTTGTTACTGCTCTGTCCTCACTGGAAACTGCAATCTCTCCAGACGTCTTGGTGTCAGTCCCTCTATCAGCTGAGAAAACAAATGAGCGGAACTTTTTCACCTGGGGTTTAACTTAGGAACGAAACTGTATTTCAGCAGAAGGACAGAAGCTGAGATCTGTCAGTGAAGGGGAGAGAGACATGTGCGCTCGCCCGGTCACTACTGCTTTTGTTCCTCAGGTTCCGTTTAAAGGGAAGTTCTGCTAGTTACTGTACCTTGGTTGAAATGAAAAGCCTTTGGAACAACAGTGTTCCTGTGTGTGAGCGTGAGTACAAGGGATATCTGTTCAGGTCTGCACCTTCCTCCTTGTTTGTTTGTTCAATGTGCTTTGCCTGTAAAATTATCTAACGTTTGCCCCTCTGTTTATCTTCACTTTTGATTGAAATATTTCTTTGTTGCAAGGATTGTTTCTGGGGGAAATAAATCTGCGCATCGTGTGTTTTGGATACCATCCTATAAACATTTACGAGCATCCTTTGTGCTACAGGTGGAAAGACATGCTTCACAGATGGAGAGAAATTTAAGGCCTGGGCTCTTTTTCCTGTCAAAAATGATACTCCTGCTTCCGCTTTTCTGTCCTTCCTTCAATCATCTATTCATTCCTGTCCTCATTCTTTCCACAAAAATTTTTGAGCACCTGCTATGTGCCAACAACCAGTCTTCTAGACACTAGGAATATACCTGTCAACAAGAAAGACTAGGACCCTGCTTTCGTGTTGTTTATATTCTTGTGCAGAAGGAAAGACAAAGAAAATAACAAGCAAATGCATAAATAGATGATTTCAAATAACGCCAAGTGTTATTAAGAAAAAAAAAACAACAGAGTGATGCAATAAAACGGTTATATGAAGGGGGATAAGGAATGCCAGGAAAAGAATAAAGTCTCCATTTAAAATAAGGTGATTATAGAGGGGCACCTCGGTGCCTCAGTCAGTTGAGCATCTGACTCTTGGTTTCAGCTCAGGTCGTGATCTCATGGCTTTTGAGACTGAGCCCACGTCAGGTTCTGCACTAGACAGCATGGAGCCTGCTTGGGATTCTCTCTCTCTCTCTCTCTCTTTCTCTCTGGCACTTCATCACTTGTTCATTCTCTCTCTCTCTCTCAAAATAAATAAATAAACATTTAAAAATAATAAATAAGTAAAATAAGGTGATGATGAGAATCCTCACTGAGAAAGTGACATTTGAGTATTGATGGAAAGTGGTTACTACCAATGGACATAGACAGAGGAATAACTTCCCATACAGATGGTGTAAAGGCCCAAGGCAGACACGTTCCCGGCATTTTCTTTGGCAAACCTGTTTTTGACATGTTCTCAGAAGCCGATATGGCTGATACGGAGCGAGCAAATAGAGGAGTAGTCAGAGGTGATAAAAGAGCGGTAAATGTACATCCCGTAACAACGTGGGTTTTCATTCTGAGCAAGATAGAAAGCCACTGGAGCATTGTAAGTAGAAAAGTAACATGATGGAATTTATTTTTAATGATACCACTTTGGCTACTCTAGAGAGGACTCAGTTGGAAGGAATGTACCTTAGATCGAGAGTCCCCGGAAAACAGTGTTGGAGGCAAAGCATAAATTGTCATGCTCTATTAGAGGGTGCCGTTCTGGAGCAACAAGAGTGAAGGAGGAAAAAAGGGTGCAGGAAGGAAAGAAAAACTGATAAATAAAATATGTTGTGTTGCTGAGGTAGCCGTAAGCTTTACCAAAACAAGCAAACAAAAAAACCAACTGGCTGTTGGCTCATATAACACATCCCTGAAGAGGTTCTGTGAAACCAGAACTGTCTAGTAGAAAGAGAAAGAATGAGCAGTTTATTTGCTGGATCTTCCCTGTCTCTTGTCTCCTGTTTATCCCAAGGGTATTAAGGCCCTTGTTTCTACGCTGTATTATCTCATCCCTCTGGACAAACTCTGAAGACACCGGAGCCCATGACCTGCTCCATTTAAGACCAGAAGTGGTGGAAGGAGCCAGAGTGGCCATGGATCCCAGTCATGTTGGCTTGGATGTGGGAGTTACTGTGACCTCTATGTAATGTGCGAGAGCCCCTATCTCCCCCTCACTTCCAGGGGGCTGAGACAGCCAGTACTGTTAGAAAAGGAGGTGACAGGGGTGTCAATCAGCATTCCCAAGTGAGAAAGCAGCTGAGGGCCCAAAAGGGAGATGCAGCCAAGGAAATGTAGGGGGATGGCTGAGGGTATAAGTTGGAAGGCTGTTACACAGATCTAACCACAGATGTTGGATAGCAGTGGGAGAAGAGGTAAGAAGTGGTCACAGGCTGGGTATATTCTGAAAGGTGAAATGACACAATTTGCCGATGGTTTAGAAACAGAGTTTTTTTTTTAATGTTTTTATTTATTTTTGAGACAGAGCATGAGCAGGGGAGGGGCAGAGAGAGAGAGAGAGACACAGAATCCGAAGCAGGCTCCAGGCTCTGAACTGTCAGCACAGAGCCCGACGCGGGGCTCAAACTCATGGACCGTGAGATCATGACCTGAGCCGAAGTTGGACACTTAACCAACTGAGCCACCCAGGCGCCCCAAGAAACCGAGTTTAAAATAGAAATTCAGTGAGATCACCGAGGGGGGGAATGGGGCCAGAAAAGGGATGCGTGGGCTGAGCCTTGTAAATCCAACACTAATAAGTTGGAAAGGTGAGAATGAATCAACAAAAGAGATGAAGAAGAAGCAGCCAGTATATTAAGAGAAAAACCAGGAAAGGAGGAGGTACAGGCTTCCGGTTATAGAACGAGTACGTCACGGGAACAAAAGATGCAATGTAAGGAACACAGTCAATGATACTGTAATGGCGATGGGTGCGGACATACAGGAGCTTCACTTGTGGAGAGCAGAGTGTAAGATATGGGAAGGGATAGGGTTGTCCAGTCACTATGTGGGTCAACTGTACCCAGGGAGAGAGAGAGGGAGACAGAGAAACAGGAGGGTGATATATCTTAGAAGCCAAGAGAAAATTCTCTGAAGGAGGTGAGATTCTCCAGAGAGGTCAAATAAGATGGTGGAAAATTATTATTGGGTATAATGACTTGAAGGTACCAGTTGGCCTCAACAAGGAGTTTCAGTGGAATTGTGGGACAAATGTTCTGATTGGAATGAGTTCAAGGGGGAATGAAGGGAAAGAAGGGCAGACCATAGACCACATCTCAGAGGAGTCCTGGTGTCACAGGAGTAGAGAAATGGGATTATTGCTGCACAGGGAAGTGGGATGAAGGGAGCTAGTTTTTTGGTTTTGGTGTGTGTGTGTGTGTGTTTGTGTGTGTGTGTTTTAATGTTTATTTTTGAGAGAGAGAGCTCAAGCAGGAGAGGGGCAGAGAGAGAGGGAGACAGAGGATCTGAGGCAGGCTCTGTGCTGACAGCAGAGAGCCCGAAATGGGGCTCAAACTCACAAACCATGAGATCATGAGCTGAGCCGAAGTCAAACCCTCAACCGACTGAGCCACCCAGGCGCCCTAGTTTTTGTTTTTAAGAGGACAGAAATATAATGTGTTAAATACAGAAATACTATGAATATATTCAGTCTGCCCATTTACTTCTTCACTAAGACAAACAGGATGTTGCTTCACCTTCTGATCATAACTATTGAAAAATATGTTTACAATAGAATTTTTTTTTTCAAATGAATGTTTTGCTCTAAAATTGTTTGGAACTTTTGTATTTATATAACGAAACTTGATCATTATATCCTTCATATTTGGAAGCCAGCTATTTGAAAATGTTAACTTTCCTGGAATATAGTTAATTAAGAAGCATGAAAGAAAGAAAACAATGCTCCCAAGAAGCCAGATACAGCTAAAATCACTTGCTAGAGGACAAACGTTGGTTAGGTTAGTCCACCTTTGATTAGTTTATCCATAATCCTTTCAAGAGTATCATCTTCCCAAATATAGATCAAAGCAGAAGGGGAAAGGAGCTTCTCCAGATCGTTATTTAAAAACAAACACACAGGGGCGCCTGGGTGGCTCAGTCGGTTGAGCGTCCAGACTCCATCTTGGGTCATGATCTCACGGTTTGTGAGTTTGAGCCCCGCGTCAGGCTCTGTGCTGACAGCTCAGAGCCTGGAGCCTGCTTTGGATTCAGTGTCTCCCTCTCTCTCTCTGCTTCTCCCCCGCTCTCTCTCCTTCAAAAAAATAAAAACATTAAAAAAATTGAAAACAAAAACGAATAAAAACAAACAAACAAACAAACAAAAACCCCTGTAGAAACCAATAAGTATCTCAAAGTCGTAAAACATTTCTGAGTCTTCTGGAGCATGCACAGGGGCATTGGGATGTTTCATTTCATTATGATGGCGTTACTGCAACCATTCATTTTGCTTTGGAGCCTAACAGCCTCAAGTCATCAAGAAAAGATTAAATCAGTGATAGATAGTAAATGTATAATATATTTTGAAAGATTTCTCTGGGATGAAGAGCCTCGATGTTAAAAGATTTGGCCTATCTTGAACTTAAAATAGTAGGGGATGTACAGTAGGTCCTCAAAAAAATTCCTGTTGAATTAATGGATAACTTTCTTATTAAATGAATGCCTGTCTTGTCAATGTGCTTAAGGTTTTTGTCTATTTTAAAAGAATGAGCTCTCAATTATCCAGAAGTTTTACGTCTTCAAAGCGTTCAGGATGATTAAGTCCCTCCTGGACGTTGTAATAATAAACATTGGTTTCAGTGTCATTTCATTTGGAAGCATCTCAACAGCGGCCTAATATATTTATTTTATGGTTTATACTCTCCCTGAGAGTTTAATCATTTAATTGGCTACACAGTCACAGCATCCCATAATTGTAGAATCAACTCGGGTTAAAATGTAAACATTTTGATGTAACTTATAGCTCTTGTGTTCCTTCTAGAAATCTTTTGTCCAAGCCCTCCATCTATCCTTAATGGGAACCACACCGGAACTCCTCAGGGAGACGTTCCCTATGGAGAGGAAATTACTTATATGTGTGACCCCCGCTCGGCCAGAGGGATGACCTTCAGCCTCGTCGGGGAGAGCACCATCCGCTGCACAAGCGACGGTGAAGGAAACGGGATTTGGAGCGGCCCTGCCCCTTCCTGTGAACTTGCTGGTCCTGCTGGTCAGTACCCACGTACCCCAAGTGGCTTCAGAATATCAGGCCCAGATCCTTCATATGTCTCTAAGATTATGGTGTGTGCTTGTGAGTTCAACTTTGTCATAAGTGGAAGCGTCAAAGTTCTAAAACTCTTCTTGCTGGTGCAGTGGTGAGCAGAGTGGGGTAAGAAGGGAGAGGGACGGGGAGCGGAAGATCAAGAAGAAAAATGTATTCACTGGAGAGGACATGAAAACAACTGGCTATGAACAGTAACCAATGGCAGATGATTGCCAAACACTCCCCGCAAGTTCATCGTCTGCAAAACTGGCAATATGGATATTATTTAGCTAAGGCTTTAGCCGGTCCTATGCCAAATAGGCTAAGTGACCAAAGAGACTCTACTTTTGTAGCTTAAGACCTTGACTCAAAGTATGCCCCTCTCTCCGCTGGCTTGTGGGGCCCACCTTAATCTTTGCCCTTGAACTTACCGTTCTGAGAGTTAGAAGCAAGGAAAGATCAGCTCAAGGGAAAGAGTATGGAAAGGAAGAGGCTGTTTCTTCCGAAGGACTGAAAATTACCTGGTTCTTGAGGACTGACTGTAGGCCTTCCCAAGACAGAAGCAGGGTACACAGGGAGGTGGCACCAGACTTGGGATACCACATGACAGAGAAAAGCAATCCGATGAGAAAAGGCAACACATGATAAAACGCGTTTAACTTTTCTTTGCTGCCCCTCCCCTTCCCATTAGAATCTAGTGAGATTTCTTTAAAAGCAGTTGCCTAGGCCACCAGGCACGCTTATTGAATGGGCAAACAGAAGCAGTCTCCTCCAAAAAGGAGATCATTGAGGTCAGACTCTATTTGAAATATGCAGCACACAATATACCCTCTCATAAAAAAAGACATAGCTTCTTTTTTTTTTTTTTTCCAGCGCAAAAATGTGTTTTTATTAAAGGACGGAGACAGGGCCCATGGGCAGAAAGAGCTGCCTCGGGACCTTGAGGAGAGACTGGTTATATGGGTGGGGGTGGGGGGGACATGGGGGGGAGGTAAAGGCAAGGGGAAGGGGAAGGGGAAGGGGAAGTTTCCAAAGGGATTTTCATATGCTAAAGAAGCTACCTGATGGCTTCGTCTGTTTTGTCCTTTTCCTTAAATCTCTGGTTTAGCATCAGAAGAAGAGCGGTCTGTTCGTTCCCTAGGACTGCGTACAAATTACCACAAACTAGGTGGCTTAACACAATAGAAATTTATTCTCTTCACTGATCTGGAGGCTAGAATTCTGAAATCAGGGTTTTGGTGGGGCCGTGCTCCCTCCTGTGACTCTAGAGGAGAATCCTTCTTTACCTCTCTTAGATACTGGTGGCTCTTGGCATTCCAGGGCTAGTGGACACATCGTTCTGATCTTTGCCTCTGTCTTCACATGGCCTTCTCCCCTGTGTCTCTGTGTCTCAAATGTCCCTCTCGTTTCTCTTGTAGACACCACCAGTCATTGGATTGAAGGCCCACCCTGGTAATCCAGGATGATCTCATCTTGAGATTGTTACCTTAATTATAGCTGAAAAGATCCTTGTTCCAAGTACGTTTCCATTGTGAGGTCCTGGATGCATGTATCTTTTCGGGGGACATCATTCAACCCACTACAAGTAGTGACTGCTATTTAGTGCCAGAGAAGCTACTTATGGTGGACACCCTGAGAATGAGGTTGGGAGGAACAAATGGAGAGAGAGGGTAAAATATGTCTTGATGGATATGAGTACATTAACGCTAATAAATGAGGGTATGAATGGTTAACTCTACACAGAGGCAGTCTGATAGGCCTGACACATGACATCCTTAGCTAAAATTCTTGCTTTGGGTGCCCAGGTGGCTCAGTCGGTTACGCGTCCGACTCTTGGTTTTGGCTCAGTTCATGATCCCATGGTTTGTGAGTTTGAGCACCGCATTGGGCTCTGTGCTGGTGGTGTAGAGCCGGCTTGGGATTGTCTCTCTCCCTCTCTCTCTGCCCCTGTCTTGCTTGTGCTCTCTCTGGCTTTCAAAATAAATGAATAAACTTTAAAAATCAATGAAATTCTTTCTTTGGTGAAACAAGAGCAAAAAGGCCAAAGAGGTGAATCGTCTTCCAAGTAGTAAAAACTTCCTGATGAGTAAATGCTGCTGGAAAGCCCCATCCTAAGGTAACTTGAAGGGGAAAAAGACCTTTTGCCATTTTTAGAAGTCTGTCTCCATGAACCCATCTATCAGCTTAACTGGACAGAAAGAGGAGGACGGGCGCAAATCTCTCGGCTCACTTTTGTATTCCTGTGGTTTTGCTCTCCAGGTTACTGTAAAGCCCCAAAACAGTTTCCATTTGCCAAGCCTACAACTCAGACTGATGAATCTGAGTTTCCAGTTGGGACATCTTTGACTTTTAAATGTTCCCCTGGGTATTTTGAGTCTACGTTTTCTATCACCTGCTTAGAAAACTTGGTCTGGTCCAGTGCCGAAGATACGTGTAGACGTGAGTAACCCCATCCTGGGAGCTAATTCATGTATGTCAAAGCGTCTGTGGGATCTCATTTAATTTGTTCAAATTTTGTAGACATCTAAGTTTGCCCACGGTATTTAAATGGAGGGTGAACTTGTAGGTCAGCCTTTCTTATTGCCTGGAGTTTTTGCAATCTTGACTCAATATTTATTTCGCAAGAATGTCTCTCACAAAAGGAATCAGAGGGGAAGTTTCCATTCCCTGGAGGTCACTTTTGATGGCTAAAACCATGACATGAGTGAAATAGGGACACAAAAGAAAATCACATAGATCATCACAGTGACCTGTGCTTCAGTACCCAAGATGGAGGGGAAATCTCAAATTTTGAGGCCTTTGATTTAGGCTCGTGGGATGAGAAAACAATTCTTTATCCATATATTTCTTCTGTTGGGAGATTCAGGCATCATCTTTTAAAAAGCAGTGCCCCAGAGCTGCTTGAGTCTGAAGTTGGTGCACTTCCTCAATGTGGTCAATCCTTTGGAACAATCAGAAGTATACAGACTGTTCAGTCTGCTACACTCCAGACTGAATCGTAAAAGCAAAGGTAATTTGAACTCTACACCTAGTCCCAAATTTTCCTTCTCTCCCATAGGAAAATCATGTGGAGCTCCTCCAGAACCCTTCAATGGCATGGTACATATAAACACAGACACCCAGTTTGGATCAACAGTGAATTATTCTTGTAATGAAGGGTGAGTTGAAAGCACTATCCCTGGAATATGAGTTTCAGAACAACAATGCTATCTCTGACCTACTCCCAACCAGACACACTAGACTATCATCTACACTTCAAAAAGTTGTCAATAGGAACTCCCGGATAGAGATGATAGCTTGAACATGGGCATATGACCAAAGGAATATAAAAAAGTAGCAACAACTGGAATGCCCAGGTGGCTCAGTTGGTTGAGTGTCTTGACTCTTGATTTCTGCTCAGGTCAGTATCTCATGGTCTGTGGGTTCAAGGGTCGTGTTGGGCTCTGTGTTGGGCACAGTGCAGAGCCTGCTTGGGATTCTCTCTCTCTCTCTGCCCTTCCCCCCACCTCTCTCAAAATAAATAAATGAACTTTTAGAAAAAATAATTTAAAAAATAAAATACATTCTAAAAATAAAAAAGGAGTAGCAAGCAATTTGTATTTTAACTAGAGGACAGCACCAGGTTCCTGCGGAAGGTAGTATGTGTGAAACCTGGTAAGATATTCACTGGATGAAAAGGACCAGTCTATTAAATGAGTAAAAGGAAAAATGCTAGTTGTACCATGCATGGAACATTCTTTTAAAAAAATTTTTTTTAATTAATTTTGAGAGAAAAACAGAGTACAAGCAGGGGAGGGGTGGAGAGAGAGAGGGAGACACAGAATCGAAGCAGGCTCCAGGCTCTGAGCTGTCAGCACAGAGCCTGACACAGGGCTCGAACTCAAGCTCTGCGAGATCATGACCCGAGCCGAAGTTGGAGGCTTAACCAACTGAGCCACCCAGGTGCCCCCGTGCATGCAATGTTCTTAACTAAGATCAGCGAGCACTATAGCTGAATTGGAGGACCTTGAATTAGGGGTTGCAGGGTAAATCTTAACGTGATAGCAGCTCTGGGAAATGTAAGTATGAACATGCACAGAGCGGGAACATTAATGAGTTCTTGCTCTGAACTTTTCTTTGGCACAGGGAACCATGCCAGAAACATCGCCTCAACTTAGAGGGAGCAATTAAAGAATGTGTATTAATTTTCAGTTGCCACAACAAATTCAGAGAAAAAAATAGAATTTTATTGGATTGTAAAATCCAATGAATTTTATTGGAGTGAACATATTTATTGGATTGAACATATATTCATTAGACATACTTGGAAGCCACGAGTAACCCAAAGATCAAAAAAATCACCACCCACAGTTCTACTCATTGTAGTTAATATTTTGCTATGAAGTCTTCTAGCCTTTTTTACCTGAAGATATGCATGTGACCCACATGTCAGTTGAGCTCAGTTACCCTTAGAAGAGAGAGGTGGTTAAATTGGACACAAGTATCAATTGCATTATCTGGAAAGTATAGATTTTGCCCTGCTCACCCCTTGCCCCCAACAAGGAGTTCTGACTTCTTAGTCCTTCAAATGACGGGAGCCCCAGGCAACACCAGGGACATATCAAGGCAGTGACAGGACAGCCCACAGAATGGGAGAGAATATTTGCAAATCATTTCTCTAATAAGGGTTTGATATACAGACTATATAAAGAAGTCCTGCAACTAAACAACAAAAAAACTAACAACCCAACTTAAAAATGGGCAAGGGATTTGAGTAGACATTTCTCCAAAGAGGACAGACAAATGTCCAGGAAACACATGACCAGATACTAAATATTATTAGTCATTAGAGAAATGCATATCAAACCCACTCCATACCTTATAGGCTGGCTATAATGGAAAACAAAAGTGTGGTGAGGACGTGGACAAAATGGAACCCTTGTGATTACTACTGGGAATGTAAAATGGTGCAGCCTCTGAGAAAAACCGTTCGGTGATTCAAAAGTTAACACAGAATTACCATATGATCCAGCAATTCCAATCCTAGGTACATATCCAAAAAGATTAAAAACATACACTCAAACAGATACAGGTTTATCAGCTGTTCTACCTATTTTTAAATACATCCTGATACATTTTATTTTTCCTTTAGATTGATACATCTCATGGATGTTTTCAATTTCATTAAGATAGAGAGGATATAATATTTTGATAAAGTATTGAGTTTTTTAAATATCTGTGATGATAACTACTTTCTCATTCATGTATATATATTTGTAGATGTGTCATTTTGTGAGGTTACAATTGGCCAAGTTCTGTTTATTTCAATCGACCACTTTAAAGAAATGGCTCTTAGATTTATTCATCATTTATATTCCATTTTTCTTACTTATTAATTTATTTTAGTAATTCCTCAGACCAGCTTCTTTCATATGTTCATGTTTATAGTCTTTAAAACATCTAATAGAAAATGTTGTGTTCATTTATTTGAAAATTTTCTTGTCAAATAACAAAAGTACTAAATATTTCTCTAAGGACGGTTTTGGCATCAGTGTCCTAGAAATTTTCAAAGAGTAATATTTGCATCAGCATTTGTAATGAAGTAGCTGAATAATGTAAGGTTTATTACTACAGGCTGTTAAGGCCAATTAACATTATTCAAACTCGAACCTCAATATCTGTCATGTGAATTTGAACAAATTTGTTAAACTCTCTGTTTCCTCTTTTGTAAAATGGGAGCTATGCATAACATTCACTTCAAAGCATCATTTTAAAGATTAAATTAATTGGGGGCGCCTGGGTGGCTCAGTCGGTTAAGCGTCCGACTTCAGCTCAGGTCACGATCTCGCAGTCCGTGAGTTCGAGCCCCACGTCGGGCTCTGGGCTGATGGCTCAGAGCCTGGAGCCTGCTTCCGATTCTGTGTCTCCCTCTCTCTCTGCCCCTCCCCCGTTCATGCTCTGTCTCTCTCTGTCTCAAAAATAAATAAACGTTAAAAAAAAATAAAGATTAAATTAATTGATGCAAAGCACTTTGAAGAGTTTTGGGCACATGACTCAATGATCATGCGTCATTGTTATCCTATAGGTAATCTGCAATGGCTGTTTTACTTTCATCTTTGACCAAGTTCCAAAACTTTCAATTTTGTGTTTATTCTGCGATTATTAATTCCTAGTGTTGTTATATTATAATGAGGGTGTAGAGCTGTTTTGATTTCTTCTCTGTGCACATTCTTGGGGTACACGCTGCCGAGTGATACGATACAACTTTTATAAATGGCTCCTGGAGAGAAAGTTTATATTCTCTGTGAGATGCAGAGTTTAATACGCAATTGTGTTATGATTTATTGTTATGATTTATCATATTGTTATATGATTTGTGCTGCAGAATCCTATCTGTGAGCAACTTTTAATCATTTGCAGCCTATTGAATATCTCCATAGATTCCCTCTACTCCCAAATACTTAGAAGTCCGTGAACAAATAGGAAGGATGGAAGGAGAACCACCCTCCAGCCCTTAATTAGCCCATCCCTGACCTCATGCAATGGACTCTCCGATGCCTGTCTCAGCATGCTTCTCACAGTGTGTATATTTGCTTATAGGGAAGGGAATCTCATGGCTCTTCTTGAACAGTCATTTCGCTTTATGGCCACCCAAATTTCTAACGCTGATGGAAGCTAAGGAGTAAGGCTTGAGTAAAATTATGAGTTTCAGAGAGATGGGTAATCGAGTCAGGAAGAATGACAACATAATGGCGATCGTAGCATATTAGTGTCTTATAATACTTTAAAAAATATTCACTGTTTTTTACAGCCACACATAGGCTGGAACCTGCTTCACATTTTTTTTTACTCCAGTTCTCTAACTTAGTCATAGTGAACACATTAAGAGCAACCTCTATAGTCAGAAGTCGAGCAACATCCGTGATGTTGTGCTCGTAAGACAACTTTTAAATGTAGGACAGAAAGCAGGCGGAAGGAAACATACTAGTGGCTCTCAAGCTGTTTCTTTGAAGAAATTCTGAAGATTAAATATTTGTTGGCACATTTGAAAGGATTTTACACTATAATCAATGAAAAGTAACAGTAAGTAAAATTCACTCAATTTGTCTACAATGTGTCAACAAAAGTGACTCAATATGCCTCCAAAAGTATTCACTGTCATTGCTATGCCCACATAGCTCCCCATCATCTTTGTATCACTATTTTTGCAAGAGCTGGCATATAGTAGGGTTAGATTAAGCTATAAAAGAACAAATAAAATAATAGGAGCTTAAACAAGATAGTAGTTTACTTCTCTCTGAGGTTAAGAACAGGGGCAGTCCTTCAAAGAAGACTGTAAAGTTTCCAAGTCCAGGCTGATACCTGGCTCCATGATCCACATAAGCCTGGGATCCTTCTATTTGAGACTCTGTGTCATCACATGGCCCAAACTCCAGCCAGCAGAGAGAAATAATGGAAGAAGAGAACACCCATTCCTTTAAAGACACTTTCCAGAAGTTTCACAAGACCCTCCAGGGGCATCCCTTTAGCCAGAACTTAGCCATATGGCTGTACGCAACTGAAGGGAAGCTGAGAAATGAAGCCTTTAATGAGGTGGCCAATGGCCCAGTTAAAAACACACAGTTTCATTACTAATGAAGAAGAGGAAAGGAGATACTGGAGATATCAGTAGACTCTGCTACAAATGGTTACTGTCCTGATCACGTGTCTTGGGTAATCAAGAAGCCAAGTTCTTAGCTGTTCCAGTAACTGCTCACTATTATATGACATTGCATTATATCCCTTACCTTTTACTTAATCAAGTTTAACCCTACTGTACAGGGAACACGTGAATGGTTTAGCTGGATATCCTTTGTGACATGTCTTACAGTAACTGTATAGTTACCTAATCAATAAAAAATAAGTGATGACAAAATGTTCCAAATTTTGTGGCCTACTTTGAGTGATTTGATGGCAAAATAGTTAAGTACCCCTGCCTTTTACATTTAAGGTGTGAAGATGGTTAGCTGTTTCCCCTGCTTCTCACTTTTGAATCTTCTTAGTGAGGCCATCTTTCTGTCCTTTGAGTACCACATGCTTGATCTCTAGGCAAGGTGCTAGAGGATGTGAATATTTCAATAAGGCATCTTCCCTGTTAATCAAGGAGCTTATCATTTCCTTGATGGAAGTGTGCATGACTAAAATAACTCCTGAGGTTCCCTAAAGACAAGTACAAAATGTCCCACGATGAAGGGAATTTTTTTTTCTTTTTTAAATTTTTTTTTCCAACGTTTATTTATTTTTGGGACAGAGAGAGACAGAGCATGAACGGCGGAGGGGCAGAGAGAGAGGGAGACACAGAATCGGAAACAGGCTCCAGGCTCTGGGCCATCAGCCCAGAGCCTGACGCGGGGCTCGAACTCACGGACCGCGAGATCGTGACCTGGCTGAAGTCGGACGCTTAACCGACTGCGCCACCCAGGCGCCCCAAGGGAATTTTTGTGTTCAGTGGGGAGGGACTAGCAGTAAACATGGATAAAAGCAGTAAGAATATAAGCTTGTCCTTAGAAATAAAGGACTAATTCGCAGATAGAGATGAGGTTTCTTCCTTGACTTCTCCTGTTTGAATCTGCCTGTAATTTGTAGCATATACCTGCAATTATTTTCTCATGGCGACTTAAGCAAGAAGTGTAGAGTATAATCATTTTTCATTCTTTGCTTCTAGGTATCGACTTGTTGGCTCCCCTTCTGCAGCTTGTCACCTCTCAGGCAATACTGTCACTTGGGATAAGGAAACACCTATTTGTAAGAGTGAGTTGAAGTATTTTTTCCCATAATTCCCTCTGCTCCATCCATATCTGCCTCGTGTTACGAAGAGGAAATCCAATCCATCTTGCAGAGAGTAGTCTCCCTGATATTTGAAATCCAGAGTCCTATGCTACATAGTTGTCCAGATTTTTCTTTATTTTAGGAGGTTATTTGTCTAAAACTGTGAACCTGAACTCAGGTAAAATTGCTCTCCCTTCCTACTTTGATAGTAAATGCTTCCCAGTGTAAGGCTTTTCCTCATGACTAAATTAAAAGACATTGAAGAAAATAAAATTTGTCTCTGCCACCTCTTAGTAGCATGTGATAAGCCCAAGAAGTAGGTAACTCCCTTTCTTATTATTTTTACTCTGAAAAAGGAAATAAGATCTCGTAAATCTTAGCAATTGCCCCAAGCCTCTGATCGTTCTGCGCTTTATCCTTTATTTAAATTCTTCCAGGTTGTATTTGTTCTTGATTAGTTGACTCTGCATCTTTTCAGTGGGATATTGCAAAGTGAACCTCCAAAACTTTGAGGAACATGGAAGAATGACCGATTGCAAATTGGTAAAATATTAAGGCTCTGAGGAAGTCAGGATCAAACACACAGGACTGATGGCAGTAAAAGTGGGCACAAACTTCTGGACGGCTTATGAGCAATATATACAAAAGCCTAATGTAAATACCCTTTGACCTAGTAATTCCATTTCCCAGAGTTTATCCCAAGAAAATCATCATGGAATTTTCCCATGATTTTGGTTCACAGACACTCAATGCAACAATACTTATGACAGTGGAAAATGTTAAAAATCTAAATGTTCAGCATGGTTGGAAAATAGCTAATGGAAGAAATAAAACTTATTAAAAATAAGTCTGATAAATTTTTAAGAAATGTAAAAAGTATACCATGAGGAATTAAAGATTACCCTTTTTAAATCAGACTGTTTGGTTTTTGCTAGTGAGTTGTTTTATGAGTCCTTTATATTTTTTGGATATTAACCCCTTTATCCGCTATATGATTTGTAAAAGTTTTCTCCCATTCTGTAGATTGCCTTTGCATTTTGCGAATTGTTTCTTTTGCTGTGCAAAAGTTTTCAGGTTTGTTGTAGTCCCATTTGTTGATTTTGCTTTTGAGGTTTGTGCTTTTGGTGTCATGTCCAAAAAAATCAATGCCTAGACCAATGTCAAGGGCATTCTCTTCATTTTCTGCCAGGAGTCTTATAGTATCAGGTCTTTGATCCATTTCGAGTTAATTTTTGTGAGTGGTGCTCTTGGCTGTCTTGCCAACTATTAACTGTATAACCAGGAATTTCATTCTGGGCTTTCTATTCTATTTTATTGGTCTGTGTATCTGTTTTTGTGCCAGTACTCTACTGTTTTTATTACTGTAGCCTTGTAGTATAGTTTGAAATCAGAATGTATGGTACCTCCAGCTTTGTTCTTTTTCATCAAAATCGCTTTGGCTAATCTGGGTCTTAGTGTTTTGATTTGTTTTTACATTGTGGTTCCAAACAAATTTTAGAAATGTTTTTTTTTCTATTTTCTGTGAAGAATACCATTGATATTTTGATGTGGATTGTACTGAATCTATAGATGGGTTTGGGTAGTGTAGGCATTTTAACAGTATTTATTTTTCCAATCCATGAACATAGGTTGTCTTTCCATTTGTTTGTGTCTGGTTTGATTTCTCTCAGCAAAGTCTTGTGATTTTCATTGTACAGATCTTTCATTTTCTTGGTTAAACTAATTCCTAAGTATTTTATTCTTCTTGATATTATTGTTAATGGGAAATTTTTCTTGATTTCTTTTTCAGATGTTTCATCCTTAGCGTATAGAAATGTACCTTGATTTCATATCCCGCAGCTTTACTGAAATCTTTGGTTAGTTCCAGCTGTTGTTTGATTCATTTGAATTTCCTATATATAGAATCATATCATCTGCAAATAGTGACAGTTTTACTTCTTCCTTCCTGGTTTGAATGCCTTTTATTTCTCTGTCTTACCTAATTGTTCTAGCCAGGATGTCTAATACTACATTGAATAAGACTGGTGAGAGTGGGCACCCTTGTCTTGTTCCTGATCTTAGAGGAAAAGCTTTCAACTTTTCTCCATTGAGTATAATGTTGGCTGTGGGTTTGGCATATATGGTATTTATGACATTAAGGTATGTAAATACTCCTTCTATACCTAATCTGCCAAGGTTTTTTATTATGAAAGGATGCTGTATTTTGTCAAATGTTTTTTCTTCATCTGTTGAGATGATCATGTGATTTAAAAATTTTCATTTTATTAGTGTGATATATTATATTTATTGATTTGTGTATGCTAAAGCATCCTTGCATATCAGGGATTAATCCCACTTGGTCATAGTGTATAATCCTTTTTTTGTGTTCTTGAATTTGGTTTGCTAATATTTTGTTGAGAATTTTTGCATCTATATCATCAGGAATATTGATCTATAGTTTACTTTTTTGTTGTGTCCTTATCTGGCATTGGTGTCAAGGTCTCATAGAATGAGTTTAGATGTAGTTTAGATGTAGTCCCACCTCTGCAGTTTTTTGGAAAGGTTTGAGTGGAATTGGTATTAATTTTTCTTGGAACGTTTGGTAGAATTCACCAGTGAAGTGATCAGCTCTAGAGTTTTCTGTGTTGGAAGGCTTTTGATTCCTGAGTCAATCTCTTTGCTTGTCATTGGTCTTTTCAGATTTTGTATTTCTTCCTGAGTTGGTCTTGATAGGTGTTATGTTTCTAGAAACTTATCCATTTCTTCTAGATTATCTAATTTGTTGGCATATAATTGTTCATAATAGTGTCTTATGGTCTTATGTATTTCTGTAGTATCCGTTGTCTCCTTTTTCATTTCTAATTTTATTTATTGAGTCTTCTCTCTCTTTTTTTGGTGAGTCTGGCTAAAGGTTTGTCAGTTTTTGTTTACCTTTTCACAAAACCAACTTTTAGTTTTGTTGCTTTTCTGTTCTCTATTTCATTTATTTCCACTCTGATCTTTATTTCCCTTCTTCTCATAACTTTGGACTTAATCTGTTCTTCTTTTTCTAGTTACCTGAAGTGTAAAGTTAGGTTATTTGAGGTCATTCAATTTCTCAATATATGCGTTTATCGCCACAAACTTTCCTTTCCGAACTGCTTACGCTCCATCCCATAAGATTTGATATGTTGTATTTCCATTTTTATTTCTTTCAAGATAACTTTTTAATTTCCTTTTTGATTTCTTCTTTGATCCATTGGTTGTTCAGAAGTGTGTTGTTTAGTGCACATATTTGTGATTTTCCAGTTTTCCCCTTGTTGTGGATTTCTGGTGTCCTATTATTGTAGTCAGAAAAAAATAGTTGGTATGATTTCAGTCTTCTTCAATTTGCTGAGATTTGTTTTGTGCCATATCATGTGATCTACCATGGAAAATGTTTTGTGTGCACTCAAGAAGAATGTGTATTCTGCTGCTGTTAGGCAGAATGTTCTATATATGTATGTCAAGTCCATTTGTTCTAGAGCATGGTTCAATTCCAATGTTTCCTTGTTGGTTTTCTGTCTGATCTATCCTTTGCTCACAGTAGGGGTACTGAAGTCCCTATTGGAGAGTTTTCTGTTTCTCTCTTTATATCTCTCAGTATTTACCCAATAGATTTAGTGCTCCAGTGTTGGGTGTGTATATTCGTACAATTGTTATATCTTCTAGATATATTGACCCGACCCTTTTATCATTATATAATGACGTTCTTTGTCTCTTATCATTTTTGGCACGAAGTCTATTTTGTCTTATATAAAGTATGGCTATGCCCACTTTCTTTTGATTTCCACTTACACAGAATATCCCCTCCTATCTGTCCACTTTGAGCCTATGTGTCTTCAGAACTGAAATGAATTTTCTGTGGGCAGCATATGTTGGGTGTTATATTTTATCCACTCAGCTACTCTGTGCCTGGTGATTGGTGAATTCATCCATTTATATTTAGAGTAACCGTTGCTACATAAGGACTTACTACTGCCATCGTATCATTTGCCTTCTGGTTATTGTCTTGTTTCTCCTTCCCCCCCCCCCCCCCCCCGTTTTTGTCTTTGCAAAATGGTGATTTTCTAGGGTGGTTTGCTCATTCTCTTCATGTTTTATGTTTCATGAGTCTATTCTCGACTTTTGCTTTGTGGTTGCCATGTGGCTTACATGAAGCATCTCATAGATAAACAGTCCTTTTTTATGTTGATAACACCCTATCTTCATTCACCTATAAAGCTTCCACCCTTCTACTCGTCCCCTTTTATATTTTTCATGTTACAGGTTATCTCTTTTTATGCTGTGAATTCATTGAGAAATTATAGTAGGTATAGTTATTTGTCATGTTCTTTTCCGTAAGCTTTTTTTTAAAAAGACCAGGATATATTTTTTAAAGTTTATTTGTTTTGGGAGAGAGAGGGAGAGGGTCGGGGAGGGGCAGAGAGAGAGAGAGAGAGAGAATCCCAAGCACAAAGCCCAGCATGGAGCTGGAACCCATGAACCGTGAGATCATGACTGGGCCAAGATCAAGAGTTGGACACTTAACTGACTGAGCCACCCAGGTGCCCCTCTGTAAGCTTTTATATTATAATTAAGTGCTTAATATGCCATTCCAACATAGAGTTACAGTTTTCTTTATTTTTCACCTTGGCCAGAGTGCTGTGTACTTTCATCTGCTATCATGTCACTCGTTAACGTCTCTTCGTTTCAGCTGAAGGGCTTCCTTCAACATTTCTTGTAAGCAGGTCTAGCGGTGATGAGCCTCCCTCAGTTGTTGTATTTTCTGGGAAAGCCTTTATTTCCCATTCATATTTGAAGGCCAGTTTTGCTAGATAAAGTGTTGGTGACTGGCAACTTTTATCTTTCACCACTGTGAATATATCATTCCTCTCTCCTGGCCTGTAGAGTTTCTGCTGAGAAATACACTGATAGCCTAATGGGGGTTCCTTTGTAGATTGTTTTATTCCCCACCCCCCTCCACTAGCTGCTTTTAAGATCCTTTCTTGCTCATTGATTTTTGACAGTTTCATTATAATATATTTTAGGAGGGTCTTTTTGCAATGGGATAATAGGGTGTTCTGTTAGCTTCTTAGATGTGTATGTTCAATTTCTTCCCCACGTTAGAAAAATTCTCAGCTACTGTTTTCCAAAAGACACTTCTTGCTCCCTTCCCCCTCTCTTCTTCTTCTGGCAAACCAGTTATATGTGTTTTTCTCATATCGAATAGCTCTAATCGGGTCTCATCGCTTTAAAAAAATCTTAGCTCTCTCTCCTCTTCAGAGTCCTTTCTAAATTCCCATCCTCCAAGTCACTAATTTGTTCTTCAATCTGATCCATCCTATTTCCTAAGCTCTCCATTCTGCTTTTCATCTGATTCATTGAATTTATCATCTCCGGAATTTCTAGGGTTTTTTTTTTTCTTTTAGAGAAATAGAAAACTTTTTTGTACATGAATAAAAGGGTAGTTTAGTGGGTGTCTGGTTCTTTTTTTTTTTTTAATTTCAGTCTCTTTGGTAAAGAACTCTTGTCCATTAATTTTATTCCTAAACTCATCGACTCGTCATGCTGAATTTTCTTGTAGCTCATTGAATCTCTTCGTAAAAGCTATTTTGAATTCTTTATCAGTTAGATTGCAATACTCCATGCCTTTGTAATCGATCGCTGGAGAATTATCATTTCCTCTTTGCGATTCAATATTCCTGTGAGTTTTCATTGTGTTTGACAAAATGTATCTCTGCCATTGCATTTTTTAATATGAAATTTATTGTCGAATTGGTTTCCATGCAACACCCAGTGCTCATCCCAACAGGTGCCCCCCTCAATGCCCATCACCCACCCTCCCCTCCCTCCCAACCCCCATCAACCCTCAGTTTATTCTCAGTTTTTAAGAGTCTCTTATGGTTTGGCTCTCTCCCTCTCTAACTTTTTTTTTTCCTTCCCCTCCCCCATGGTCTTCTGTTAAGTTTCTCAGGATCCACATAAGAGTGAAAACATATGGTATCTGTCTTTCTCTGTACGTTCCTCTGAAAATTAAAAATAGATCTGCCCCATGGCCCAGCAATAGAGCTGCTAGGAATTTGCCCAAGGGATACAGGAGTGCTGATGCATAGGGGTACTTGTACCTCAATGTTTATAGCAGCACTTTCAACAATAGCCGAAATATGGAAAGAGCCTAAATGTCCATCAACTGATGAAGGGATAAGGAAATTGTGCTTTATATACACAATAGAATACTACTTGGCAATGCGAAAGAATGAAATATGGCCTTTTGTAGCAACATGGATGGAACTGGAGAGTGTTCTGCCATTGCACTTGAAGTAGCACACACCTTTATTTGTTTACTCCAGTTCAACTAACTTGCAATTAGAAACCATTCTTTTGTTTTCCAGAAGGTGGCGCCTTAGCTCAAGTTTTTGGTTTCTCTTCACCTGCAGTGGCTCTGGGCTGCACAGGGAAGCATGCTGGTTTTAAAAAGCTGGTGTAGAAACAGCTGACGGTGGAGTTGGAGGAAGTGTGGGTTTAACACCTGTTGCTCTGTGGGTGCCCACTGCCCACAGATCAGGGGTACTCCCAGAGGTCTGAGAGCAAACCTCCCGCTAACATACCAAAGCTGATAGCCAGGGAACAGGTCCCTTCAAGGCCCTTTGTTATTCTTGACTGCCTCTCCTTCCCTTTCCTCTCTCTCCCAGGTGCACAGGTGCCCCCCTCAGAAATCTGTGCAGCTGGATAGAAATGGGTCACAGTCACTCACCACTTTTACTTTTCACCTCTTCTGTGAGGGAAGTCACTGGCCCTAAAGAGGTAGCTGGCTCCTCAAGATCCTTCTCCTCTGCCTCTGTCCTGCCTAGATGGGTGCCCGCTTCTCCCATCAAGTTGGCTGGACCTCTGCAAAACCTCTGTTTCTGGTGCATGTCCACCCTATTTTTCTCTCTCCAGCAAATGTGGGTGGGGCAATTCCCCCCAATTCCCTTGGATCCCAGCTCCCTTGGATCCATAGCAGCCTCTGAGATAACTATCCTCATTGTTTTTCGAAGTGCAGGTGTGCAGAAATGTAATGTACAGAGGCACCTTTGTTCAGTTGTGAATGGCTATTTTCATCTGGATTTTGTTGAAATATCTTTGCTAGAAATCTATTTGGACACCTGATGGGATTGTGATGGAACTTTACAAGAATGATCAGTATAAATAAAACTCAGATATCCAACAAAAACAAACTCTACTTTCCTGAGACATGTAAATCTGAAAGTAAATACATAAATAAACTTTAGATAAACATAAACACATGGGTAAAATCCAGATATGAGAAGTCAATCACTGTTTGACATCCTAGGACCTTCACTTTGTTTATTCACACAATTCTGACAGGCTTGGGTATCTATTCTTAAGTTCATGTCAGATTCAAAGCATCAGATTAGTTTAGGGAGGGAACTGCTAGAAACAGATACACTAACAGCAGAAAGAAAGGACAGCTGGTCACCTGGAAGAAAGAAAAAAAAAGCAAAAGGGAAAAAAAAGCCTCCCAGAGCCACTTAATCTGGCTCTGAAAAGCCCTGTAATCATCCTGAAGATATTATTGCGTATTTGTTAGTGACACGGATAATGGTCTTGAATTATCAAGAAACATTTATATCTGCTGAAGGTGGTCATCTGTGTTTACTAAAGATTTACGAAGATTTCTTGGCAACTTCGGATCTTTGAGGGCCAATCTTGTCTGTCTTGTGTCTCAGTGTCAACCCAGGACTGTCTTTATGCCAAACAGAAAGTAGACAAACGATAGTTGCTGAAAAAGCAAATTAGTTACCTTTCAAATTGATTAAAACCTTAGCTACCTGGAGGGTCTTGGACCTTTTGCAATAATTAAAGTCTCACTTCAGTTCGTTCCTTCTCAGAAGAAGCCTTACATACTTAAGTCTACCCACTGTAGTTGTGTTCTCACGGAAAAAATACAGTCCCAGGGCACCCCTGCTGTATGATCATTTTGATTAAAACTCTAATGGGATCTAAAGCTCTTGCTCTCTTTCTAGAAATCTTTTGTCCAAGTCCTCCATCTATCCCTAATGGGAACCACCCCAGAACTTCTCAGGGAGATGTTCCCTATGGAGAGGAAATTACTTACATGTGTGAACCCCGCTCGGCCAGAGGGATGACCTTCAACCTCGTCGGGGAGAGCACCATCCGCTGCACAAGCGACGGTGAAGGGAACGGGATTTGGAGCGGCCCTGCCCCTTCCTGTGAACTTGCTGGTCCTGCTGGTCAGTACCCACTTCCCTATGCCCCAGCCGGATCAGAATATCTAGGCTAGAATGTCCTCATTTCTGTGGTGACAGCTGTGTTTGCTTGTGAACGTGGCTTGGTTATAAAAGTCAGACACACAGAATTACCTGCTGAGCAACTTAATAGATGGGTTCTAGATGTGCCATGCTGTGTCCCAATCCGTGGTACTCTGATGATCCTTCCCACGGGGGCAAGGAGTGTGGGACAGTGAAAAGAGGAGGAGGTGGAGAATGGGGAGAATCAGCGAGGCCCAGATTTTCTAGAGAGTATTTTCAAAGCAGTAAAATACAAGTGCCAAAGAAAATACTCTGTCGTGCCATCTCCAGTACAAGTTGTCTTTATACTCGCTAAGTGGGTGTGCAGAGCAAAAAGCACATGTTGATGGCCTCATTTTACTTCAGACTGGAGTCTACAGAAATAAAGAAACTCCAGTGTAGGCACTTGTATTCCTTTTGTTACCCCTAAGTGTTCTGCTCAGCCTGTAACTGCATTTTGGTGACCCTTTGTCTCACTTGTAGCAATAGGAACTCAACACGCCCTAGAGAAGCGGAGTTCAAGGTTGTGCTCTTAGCAGCTCATTCCTTTTACACATTAGTCTGGCATGAAGTGACAGTGCCTGGCACTTGGAGGCTCATCTGTGGCTGTGATTGTCCACACAAGCTCTGGGAGCCAGCGAGGACAGACAGCATGCAACTGGTCATTTGAGATCCTGGTGGTATTCCCAGCCAGTGCAGTTTGCAGGGGACAACACAGATGGTCCTGCTAAAAGGCTGAGAGGTCTCCGTTTGAAGAATCATTCTTCCCAGGGATCAGTAAATATTTAGTGCCTTTGGAACCTGCCTGCCTTGGGTCTCCGTGCGGCTCTAATAGAGATGTTATTAGATACGTTGGCGTATTTGTACTTCTTTGTTTAACTGAATGTCTTTTCTTGTGTTTTTTTTTTTTGGGGGGGGGGTCTTGTTCTTAGCATGCCCACATCCACCCAAGATCCACAATGGGCATTACATTGGAGAACATCCATTTCCATATCTTCCTGGGATGACGGTCAGCTACACTTGTGACCCAGGCTACTTGTTGGTGGGAAGGAACTTCATCTTCTGCACATACCTAGGAACCTGGAGTCATTTTGAACATTATTGCAGAGGTATTTCTTATTCTTGCCGGGTTTTGTTAATGGAAAATTGATGAATGAGGCTGCTAAGGCTAAGCCACCTTTCTGAGAGGATTGTGAAATGAATATCAATAGAAGGGGGAGAAAAGCAGAGATAAAGATAGGAAGGAGGCTGCCCAAGGATTCTCAGCTCTACCAAACAAGTAAGAAGAACTGATGGAATTTCCAGTGATACAGTAGACATCAAACACCAATGTAAAATGCTTTGCAGGCTTTTAACTAATAAAATATCTCAGCTCTAAGAGACCTCAGAGGAGTTACAAGTGGTCCTCATAAATACCTTCGAGAGGAGGCTGGAAGCACACTTTCTTGTGAGGAAAACTGAAACATGGAGGAAAGTTGAGAGCAATTTATTACCGGAATTACTGGATATGGGTCCTCATTATAATTTCCAAGACCAAAGGTGAAATGTCTGTTTCATCTCTTCCTTAAAACAAGTGCCAAAACTTACTTCCTTTATTCCTGTCTATGTCTGTGAAACTGGCATCTGACTCAAAGCATCTTTTGTTGGCAATATTCTTTAAAAAAAAAAAAAAAAAAACCCGGGGCGCCTGGGTGGCGCAGTCGGTTAAGCGTCCGACTTCAGCCAGGTCACAATCTCGCGGTCCGGGAGTTCGAGCCCCGCGTCGGGCTCTGGGCTGATGGCTCAGAGCCTGGAGCCTGTTTCCGATTCTGTGTCTCCCTCTCTCTCTGCCCCTCCCCCGTTCATGCTCTGTCTCTCTCTGTCCCAAAAATAAATAAACGTTGAAAAAAAAATTAAAAAAAAAAACCCACAAAATATGGAATTAAAAATATTATTCAGTGACTAAGCATGGTACCGAGGTCTTTATAAAAGTCATTTGTGTTAGTCTCCAAAAGAATCTGATGAGATGGGATTATTCTTGCTATTTTACAGAAGAGGAAATAGAGAGCCCCAGTAACCAGTCGACAATAGGCACCTCCCAGACGGGGTTGCCAAGACTGGGTCACTGCCCAGCCCATGCTTTGGAACACTGCACTGTATTCTGTCTCCTATTAAATGTGGTTCTTTTGACTTGGCACAACTTTAAGTTAGCAGTTTGCTCTTTGTCTCCTTTGTAGTAAACTAGGCGAAGGGCAGGGATGAGGTAGGAGGGACTTCAGACAGGCCTGTGTTTCCAACGTTAAGGAGCAGTTAGTCCTATGGCTGTTGGGGTGGTCACAGGATCATGGGGCTCTCCCCAACCTAAAAGTCTCAGAAGTCCTTCTTGTCCAGCCGACCTCTGGTTTTAGAGATAGAGAAAATATCCTCTACAGAGACGGTAAGTGGCTCTTCTCTATTTATTCTCCACGAACTGTGGAGTCCCTGCGCCTCTGCAGGAACAGGAAGAAAGCTCACCCCTCTTTGCTTTAGTCACATGGAGAAGTATGAAGATTCAGAGAATACTTCAAAGACGGATTATTCAAATTAAGACTCTGGGACGTTTCTTCTCCTGAATATAAAAGGGTACTATTCTAGCCTCTTGGCAGCTGCTTCCAAGTGAAATTCATTTTGTCTTATTAATTGTCCTCATCAAACGTGCTTTATAGCGGTCATTCTGTATTTAGCATTAGCAAAATCAGCCAGGCACCTAGTTAAGAAGATTCCAGTCTCAAGCTCCATTCCTAAGAACTCTGATTCTGACATTTTGAGGTGCGGTCTCGAGGTCTATTTTTAACAGACCCATCAGCATATTCTGATGTAGGAAGACCACAGACCATATTTTGGGAAATACCACTTCGCCTTGTTGGTTTTTTGAAAATAATAATTTCGCCTAATTTTGAGATAATTACAAGTGGAAAGCGGGCTTTGCTGGCTGAAGGAGGTATCAATAGCTGGGCAGAGAAAGAAAGCAAAACAAAGGATAAGATAAATGAGATAACATAAATTAAAATTTAAAATTATGTTTTAAATTGAGAATCATGATTTACTAGCTTCTATGCATAGAAATGAGCCAGAAACATGCATTTAACCAAGAAGCAAAATACCAGTATTTGTTGCATACCTAGAGAGAGTTAATGTGATATTCCTCTTTCCTTACGGTGTGACCCAAGCGGATCCAGGATTAGAACATGGTTATCATAACTCCCAACCTGTCGACCACTTTACAGTTGCAGAGTTGTCAATAATTAAAAGCGGATTGCAGTACCTTCCGTATTCTCTTTCTTTACCTGAGAAATGAAAGAAAATTTAAAATTGTACGGTGTTGGGTAGGTGTCAATAGGTCTTGATTGAAAACATGACTCATCTTTGCTGAAGGCAGGGTAGTTTGGGGGTCATAGATCTTTGCATTATGGCAGTTTCAACTAAAAATTAATAAAATATCAATTTCCTTCTGATTTTTCTATTTTCAGAGGCAAAATGTAGACTCCCAGCGCATATGAATGGAATCCAGAAGGACGTGGAAATGAGAAAAGTCTATCACCATGGAGATAATGTAACTTTTGAGTGTGAAGAGGGGTATACTCTGAAAGGTAGTCCCCAGAGCCAGTGCCAGGCAGATAACACATGGGACCCTCCTCTGGCCATATGTGCATCTAGTAAGTGCACCTGCAAGAAATGTAGGTCCTTCCTTCATCATGGTCACTGTTCATTCACTCGTCCATCCTGTCATTGAATGTGGTGTGATGTTCATGGCACCTGCTAAGAACGAAGGAGTCCAGTGGGAGAAACCAATGGCTTTTTATATTAGAAAAACATTAGACTGTGTGCTGAAAAATATCAGATGAATTTTCACTGGCTGAGAGCTCCTGTTTGATCACCCTGTGTGCCAGACTGATGTCGTCCTGGCTTTTGTCTTCCCTTTAGGCACACACGATGCTCTCATAGCTGGTAAGTTCTGTGAAGGGTTTGCTGAGGAGCTCTAGCACGTTCCACAGTAAGTACTCACTTACAATGGGTGAGATGTTTAAGGAGAGATCAAAATCTGTAACGTTACAATTTCAGTCAGAAGGAAAAGAGTCTACATTCAGGCCATGGTGTGGCAAGACTGGTATCCTCACAGGCACACAGTGAGTGAGTGTCCTCTATTGAAGGATCTACACCGTCTTTGAATCATTACAAATGAATAATCATCATCCTTCCTATTTTAACGGGGCTGGAGAACACAACGTCCCCTTTGGTTTA